ACAGAGATGTGACGATGGAAGCAAAGCGGAGAGACTGGAGCAAAGGGCGAAAGTTGACTTCTTGAAGATCATAGTCTAGAGGAGAAGGGCATTGCTTGTGAAGCCCATTAGAAAAGGCCTCATGGCGGAAATTTTAGACTGGTGGAAATGGAATCTCTAATTAAGAGAGATGAATTGGAAAGAGGCAATATAGAATTGAGTTTAGGTGTTGTTGTATGTTTGAAATGGCTTGAAATAGCTCAAACCCGCTCAAGCCGACTGACCGATGCGTTCATGCGGTATGTAGATGATGACTTGAACCGTCTTTCCTTTCAAGCTGTCATAGGGGTTTCATTCGCTATTAAGGTTAGCACTAATTGATGCTATGCAGCTAGAATATTGCAGTCCCTGGCATTATGTAACGCTATCTGTATGTACGGTTTCCCTCAGCCTCAAGGTTGCGGGGTCATTATGTCGGGAGGGTCCCGCAATGTCGGGACAATACCGGACCGGCACCGTGTGGCTCATGCATGTCCCTTCTTACTGCACAACTGCCAGGCTTCTTTTCTCGGCTCGACCCCGTTGAAAAACAATTTGTGGTGCGCATTAGATCAGATCAGATCAACAACCTCTTCCCCTTGCAACGCAGAACCGGCCATTTTCACGAGGCACTTCTTTCCATACCCACCAACCACATCTACACTTGCCTCTACCTCTTTCCCCCACACGAACCTCCACGAATATCTTTAAGTGCACTGCACCTATTACTACTACAGCTCCTTGATATTCGGTCCCTCCTTGTCGAAAGGACTCAGAGCTTACCCCAAAAAACCCTCCCTCGCGAATACACTATCAAAACCCCCATTTCCGCTACTGAAACAAGGTCATCTCGATCACCAGTTACTCTCTACCCGCGATCAACTACTGAAACCGACTCGTTCGTCTTTATGCACCGCGTTACTTCGCCCCATACGAGAAGACCCCTCTAAATATTCCACTACGTGATTCCGTCTTGTGCGCCTTAGGTGCTGCAAGCGTCGATCATATCCATTATTTAGCCAGCTGGATTTTCCCTGGCTACAGGAGTTGCTATTTGGCGAAGGTACGTCTACGTGTCTATACGCGGTACGGTTGTGGCGCTCCCACATTTGGCCTAACCTCCTTGTTGGAGCTGTCTATGTTATTCGTTTTGGTCATGTTCAGATGTCTCTCTTATTGGTGCCTTGTTTAGGTGCTAGGAACGTCTCCTTATTAGCAAGACCCGCTCCCTACTATTTTTGATTGTGCTTCTTTCTATCGCCTATATGCTGAGTTGTTTGCCGAATTTAAACTGACCAATTTCTACACTCTAGCATTGCTAAGCCTTCGACATACCCACCACCCTATCGATTTAAACAGGTGCGAAAGCTTCTATTCTCGTCCTTGACGCGCATACGAACGACCTTCTGTACCAGCAAACAACTCGCACCCACCCCTACCTTCGAAACTAGGCACATGAAAGTCTACTTTTCATAGAGCCTCGCGTCTCGATCACTCACACTGTTGCCTCCTACAACATTATCATCCTCTCTACTGTTTTTCAGCAGTGCATGGTACACGCTTGGAATTCAACGTTACCCCGTGAATTACATACCAACATCAGATCCTCGAGTCTCTTTCACGGCCAGGCCTGACACTCGTAGCAAAAATGACGGATGCTTTAACAGCGCAACTGAGGGCTTCGACCCTGAATGATACTCCTCAAAATGAGGATTGGAAGAAGAGTCTCAACATCCCTACTCGTGACAACAGACAGCAAACCGAGGTCTGTATTTGACTTGTTGGAAGAGCGAGAGACAAGCTAATTTGATCTCTAGGATGTAACAAACACTAAAGGTCTAGAATGGGAGAATTTCAATCTGAAGCGAGATCTACTAATGGGCATCTTCGAAGCTGGCTTTGAGAAACCATCACCTATCCAAGAAGAATCTATTCCGGTAGCTCTAACGGGACGAGATATCCTAGCAAGAGCCAAGAACGGTACCGGCAAGACAGCAGCTTTCGTCGTGCCCGCTCTGGAACGGATAAACCCGAAGGTCAATAAGATTCAATGTTTAATATTGGTCCCTACGAGAGAGCTCGCAATGCAGACGTCTCAGGTCTGCAAGACTCTCGGCAAGCACCTCGGAATCAACGTCATGGTCACAACTGGTGGTACTACTCTCCGCGATGATATCGTCCGTCTACAGGATCCCGTCCACATAGTAGTGGGCACTCCCGGCCGTATTCTCGACTTGGCAGGCAAGAATGTTGCTGATCTTAGCGAATGTCCTATGTTCATCATGGACGAAGCCGACAAACTGCTGTCGATCGAGTTTACCCCTGTCATCGAACAGCTTCTCCAGTTCCACCCTAAAGATCGCCAAATCATGCTCTTCTCGGCCACATTTCCCATGTCTGTCAAAGATTTCTCCGATAAGAACATGGATAGGCCTTACGAAATCAACCTGATGGACGAACTCACCCTGCGGGGTATCACGCAATACTACGCCTTCGTCGAAGAGAAGCAAAAGGTTCATTGTTTGAATACTCTCTTCTCTAAGCTCCAAATCAACCAGTCCATCATATTCTGCAATTCGACGAACCGTGTGGAACTGCTAGCCAAGAAGATAACAGAGCTTGGTTATTCATGTTTCTACAGCCACGCGAAGATGGCGCAGCATGCACGAAACCGAGTTTTCCACGATTTCCGCAATGGTGTCTGCCGCAATCTTGTCTGTTCCGACCTCCTAACTCGTGGTATCGATATTCAAGCGGTGAATGTCGTTATCAATTTTGACTTCCCGAAGAATGCCGAAACGTACCTGCACCGTATTGGACGATCTGGCCGGTACGGTCATCTTGGTCTGGCGATCAACTTGATCAACTGGGACGACAGATTCAATCTATACAATATCGAAAAGGACCTAGGTACAGAGATTCAGCCAATCCCTGCCACTATTGATAAGAGCCTTTATGTCTACGACAACCCCGAGAGTATCCCTCGCCCTGTCAACACGTACGCCCCGAAGCCCGCACACTCTGGCGATTTCTCTTCGCAGCAATCGAACAACGTTCCGTCATCTCAGAATAGAGGACAGGGCTTCCAAAGCGGTCGTGGTGGGCATTTCAACGACTCCCAGTCGTACCAATCCAATCGCGGAGTAGGCCGTGGCGGCGGTCGCGGTGGTAACCGAGGTCGTGGACGCGGTTACAACAACAACAACAACTATGGTGGCCGTGGTGGTGGCCGAGGTGGCCAGAACCAGCCTCCGCAATAAGCCCGAACTATTCTCGAACGCGCTTTGACCCCACGCCAGAAACTCAATATTTACTGGGGTTTCCTGAGTTTTATCTCATTTGCACTGTACATATCTTCTGGATTCTCTTTGCGATTTGTAACATACCCATTATGACTTCGTTGGTTCCTTGGCTTCCAATCGTTCCTCGATCTCGCGAAGGAGATTCTTTGAGCATTCGACGACATGAGACCGAGTTAGTTGACGTTTGGACGAACCGGGGAAGGGGAAAATTTTGGCGTCGGGCGTTTTTTCCACCTGGATTCGGTGGTCGGCATCGGATAATTCTTCGGCGGCATAGGGGGTATGCACTCGGTAACGAGGAATGACCACGAGGAGAGATTATATTATGTTGACGGACTCGTTTCTACCGTTGTCTCATAAGCATTTTTCCGTTTAATTACTCATCCCCCTCTCTATCAACCTTGGTTGAAGTTTTCATATCCAACTTAGAGCAGTTTGGCGAGCATTGTCGCGAAATTCACCGTACCCGAGGACAGCAGATGCTAGGACAACAGAATACTTCTGCCTGGGCCCGGGCTGTTCAATCTACACAATTATTGCACCGCGTCGGTCCACCGCAGGAGCATTGGTACCATCAGTTGCAACATCTTCAACTCGGACTGCAACAAAAATTATTCAATATGGAGGAGGAATTGTCGTCTACAGATGGCCATTCCGATTCACCCAATACGACTGACTGGCTAATATGTTTTGGAACCGTTCCTGGTTACTGGCAGCTCCCGTTTCCGTGGTCATGAGCTGTCACACTTTTACCCATCGGTGCTCACCTGAAACCCCATTATGCACCAGGGGGCTCAAGTACAGTCTCGGCTCCTAGGCACAGTCTCGCCAGCATAGTGACACAGGCAGAAAAAAGAGAAAAGAGAAAAAAATCGATTTGGGAGGAAACGCTGGATGAACTAGACGGCTTTTGAACTAGTTAATATGCCTCTTGGTAGGTATGTAGGACTGGTGAGTTAGATAGTTTACTGAGCAAGTTGTGGTGGCTCCTGGTCACCATTTTCCTTTCACTTTTTTGTGTTCATCATTGATTATACCGTGACTATGCGCTGTGCTATCGCCTAGAAGTATTTTCTACTATCTATAATTCAGCATTGACATGGCTATAATGTTTTCCTTTGTGATGTATGCGCCAAATATGTTAAGATATATCATACCGAGCTTATAGTACAGTTGAAGGGGTGCATCCAGAGAATCTCGAAGCAAAGCTTGCACTCTTTAGGTGGAATGGGAGCCATATGGCAATTGAAATCTAGTCAAACTATATCCTCAAAGTATCTACTTGCAAGTTGGGACTATAGAGTTTAACTACATATGATGCAGTTGAAAAGAGAAGGTCTGCAAGCAATAAAATATTTTCGCTGTATTCTTGAAAACCAACGGCATCTCTACCTACTCAGAATGTACTTTGCCATCAAGAAGCAAAGTGAAAAGAGAAGGAAAAAAAAATAACTTTGCTTTAATACTGGAGACGTGGAGACAGAGCTCCGGGAATAAATTTGTAACCTAGCAGGCTAGGTTAGTTAGGTTCAGAAAGAGAAAATTTCCCGTTGAAAATCTGTGGAAATATTCGGCCATGGGCCAATCAAGTTCTTGCTCAAATAGGAAGAGATTTCATAGCTGCAGGTCTCGCCCTTACGCGTTTGCGCACGCGAATTTGAGCATGCACTGCATGTACAGAAAAAACTTTATAAAGGTACCTTTTGTATGTACCTCCTAAGATACATACATGCACATGTGTATTAGAGAATCATAAATCAAAGAAGCTGTGGGAAGGTATAAGTTGCTGCGGCTGCCTTGCAATAAAATGACACTGACGCAAGTCCCAATAAAAGCTAGAGCAGTCTCGCGATTTCTCAAGCTACATCCATTTTTCTTTCCACTACAACAACCTATTCTCCGGTTTCAGCAGCATAGAACTTTCACCATGACCATGCAAGAACCACAGGATCATTCTCGTTTTCGCACGCGTGGGGGAGGTAAAAGGCGTGGGAATAATACTCGAGGCTCAAGGCATATCCCAAATCATCCGCGGCCAGCTGCAGCTCAATATTCTACTCAGCCAAACGGCAATAATGAGGTCGACGATGCTTACGCGGCTTCAACCTCAGGAGCACCTCAGGATGCCACCCCGAGAATCTCTGTGCCCACAGATACTCCGACTTTTGCAGGGCTCGCAAAGGATAATCTGATTCATCCTGTCTTACTGAAAACAATATCGGAGGACTTGAAATTCAACCACATGACACCGGTACAAGCAGCCACCATCCACCCGCTTCTGAAGGAAGACTGCGATGTTTTGGCACAAGCAAAGACTGGTACAGGAAAAACTATCGCCTTCCTACTACCAGCCATTCAAAGAATGATGCATCGCCAGGAGAAACCGGGTGAAAACGTTTCTCTTCTTGTCATTTCGCCCACCAGAGAGTTGGCAATGCAGATCGCGGAGGAGGCACGTGCCCTACTGCAGCGTCTAAAGCAGTATAGGATCTGTATCGTCATTGGTGGTACAAACAAGAACACGGAAGAGAGACTCATTTCGAAAGGCTGCGATATTCTGATTGGTACTCCAGGTCGACTATACGATCACCTAAGTGGAGAAGATAGCCTCGTTGCCAGCATGCTACAGAGTCTCGACACGTTGGTGCTGGACGAAGCCGACAGGCTTCTGGATATGGGCTTTTTTAATTCCCTAAAGAAGATTGTTGAATGCCTGCCGGACAGGGCCGTCCACAAGAGGCAATGCATGCTCTTCTCGGCAACTGTCCCTGAACACGTCCGAAAAGTTTCCCAATTGGTCCTTCGACCGGACTATAAGTCTATCTCTACCATCGCAGAAGGCGAACTGGACACGCACGAGCGCGTCCCTCAGCATCTTATTGTCGTCCCTACTTTCTCTGATATGGCAGCTGGCTTACTCGGTGCACTACGACAAGAGCTTGCAGTTGTTGGTCCCAAAGCCTTTAAGGTGATAATCTTTGTGCCAACCGCCCGGCTAGTAGACTTTTACGTGGAAGTCCTACAGAAATCACCCGGTCTGCCGCCAGTCATATCCCTCCATTCGCGAATGTCGCAGAGCAAGAGGACGAACATCACTGAAGAGTTCCGTCGGGAGAAAGGCCGTATCCTAGTTGCAACGGATGTCATCGCTCGAGGCATGGACTTTCCTTCAGTAACAAATGTCTTCCAAGCAGGCATCCCTTCCGATAAGGAATCCTATATTCACCGACTAGGACGAACTGCCCGTGCGGGTGCGGAAGGAAAAGGCACTTTCATTATCACGTCTCACGAGACCTCATACTCAAAGCGAACACTAAATAACATTATGTTTGAGAATACACCCGCGGACTTAAGCGCCCGCGAGGACGTATCGGAAATTACTGCGAGACTCGATCCGGATATCCAAGGGAAAGCATACCAAGGCTGGCTCGGTTACTACAAGACCTTCATCAAACCATTCAACTGGGATCCCGCCCGACTTGTTCATGAAGCGAATGAGTTTGCGCTGAACGGTCTTGGAGCAGCTGAGATTCCAAAGCTGCAGAAGAGTACAGTTGGGAAAATGGGATTGAAGGGCGTCAAAGGACTTGTGATTGGTCCGGACTTTCGAAATGAAAACTTTCAGAAGCGCGAACGAAATGGCGGTGATGATAGCGACATTAGTAGCAGGCAACCGTCCAAGCGACCCCAGAGAAGCGAATGAAAGATATCTCCCAGTAAGGCTATTCTTGCAATCATCAAAGTACCTAAGTACCGATGCGAGTAGGTATCCCACGATATCAAGGCAGATTCGAAGCATCATCGATCTTCAGGATTCCAAACTCGATTAGCTACCATGTTTGCAGCCCTCAAGAGACATGGTAAGTTCTACGGTCTGTTTCGAGTATTCACAGCGACAGGTGCTTACCACCTAACAGTGATAAAATAGGGACCCTATTATTGGCTAGTCTATGTAGCATTTACGGTCATCTCAGCCGTCTTCTGTAACATCCACCTCTTTTAGCTTGTGGCAGCAAAACAACATTGCATAATTGTTGGCATAATACATCCCCTCATCAATAGCAAAAGGGGTTAAACATTGTACTTCTATAGCTATTTATATAAACTGCCAATAAAACCACTCATCTAGGACCTTTAGGGCATTTGTGATGAGTCTCTACGACAGGTGACTTTATTGGAAGCTAAAGGTAGGTATCTTAGGTTCTTGTTTAACCGTGACGAGCAGCCAGAGTCCATGATATCCGCCCCTCTTTCTCTAGACAGCTTCCTAGCTTAAAACTGTATCGACTTGTCTCTTAGAAATGTCTTCATCTATCTAAGCCACCCACGCTTCTTATACCAGGCTCCCTCTAAGCTCAACGGTTCATACATATCTGTTTCACTCCCCCATTCATCATCGGACTCGAAATCGTCTTCGTCGTAGTAGTAGTTCGACATTGGAAATCTACACGAGCTTGAGTAGCCGTCGAGAAGACCTAGGTGGTCGCCGTAACAGTAGTCGTCTTCTACGACGACGGTCTTTCCGTATCGCTTTAGTATGCGAGGGTGTGGGAGCTTGGACTTGAAGCGAAGTTTGAGGCAGATGAGCTTCGATTCGATGGCGCCCATTGTGGAGATGGGGGAGTGGTTTGGCAGGTATGGGGTAATAGTTGTAGTCTAAACTGCTGGGCCCTGAGTCGCGGTTTATGCGAAGGTCGCCTACATGGATGAAATTGTAGGCGAATTTGACGACAATGAAAAAGGGGGTGTGGTATGTGTGCTTCGATCTACATTTTCTAACTTATTTCCCGCGGGCTGGGTTAGGGAACGCGTATAGGTGTAGAGAAGAGTGTAGGGAAATCGGGTTGGTCGCTCACGTTGGTGCGCCGTCATTATCGCGACTGACTAACGCTGACGTACTTGACTGCTCTAGTTCCGGTGAGTCTACTTAATACATAGGGAAGACGCGTTGATATTATACTTTCTAGTCTAAGTAAGTAGTTACATGTAACCTACAAGACTGCTTCGGCTTAATTAGGGTCATATATGAATTAAATTAGGTATGGTAAGATTGTCATCAGGTACGTGATGCAGGAATCATGGCTATTAGTCAATCCAGGGGTATCTCATTTCATATCGTAATGTACATAGTTGCGTTCCTCCTATTCGTCAGGCATGTATGTACATCGAGAATCATCCAAACATCCCTTCATAGTCCGCGTGACTGATTCAACAGGCCTGTCTCCGATCAGTGATCCGTCTCTCTACTCTCTTTATGCGGAGGCAGAGTCATGAAAGGTCTAATATCCGAGGACAGCTCTAGAGAATCTGTTCTTTCGATCTGGGGTAGCTGGGGAGCCAGTTCCTGCATCTCTTCATATGGGTCCTTGGTATGTATCCGATCTATCGCAGAATCTACGGCCGACAGGCGGGAGTAAGTTGGGCTCGGCTGCTTTAGATAATCTTGGACCATATTCATATCTATGAATGATATCTCGGAATATTGGTTAAACCTAGCATTGCCGTTTTTGTTGCCACTTCCGCGTCCGCTTCCACCTCCATCCCCATTCCCGCTTGGTGTTTTATCAATATGAGAGCTGCCACTCCCGGACTTTCGCCGCCGAGTTAAGAGGCTGGTGATCTTGACGACGGGGTACGACTGCGCTATTCGGACGGCAAGGGGTCTGAATATGGGCAGGCTAGCGCACAATATAGCTATGCTGGTATGCAAGGCCGCCCATATTTCGGTATTAGCATAAGACAGCGCTCGCCTTCCCGGCTGGTAAGCGAGAACAGTCTTGGCAATGCCGGAACCTATGGAGCTAGATGGTCGTTAGGAAGGTAATTAGAGAGAAGTACCTAGATAAGGGGGACGTACAAAGCTCCTAATAAGAAGATTCCCGAGACGACGAATTTCTGTCTCAGCGAGTAGTGCATTCTCAACACTACGCTTAAGGGCAAGGTCAGGATCCAGGCGTCGAGGATAATCTCGCATACCCCAGCCGCCATCCAGTAGACGTTGAAGTTGATGCAGTACCTCGGATCGTTCAGTGTACTGTTCAGACCGGCCTCGAGATCCTTGCACTTCCGCAGCGCGGCAACGGTGCACCCGAACCACCAGCCAATAACCAAGGCGCTCACGACGAATAGTTGGTACCGAAAGACCTGGCTGATGGCGAAGATGCGGTGGTACATGACTAGGATTCCAAGCTTGGTAGCACTAGAAACAGTGAAATAGAGGATGGTAGAGGCATATGATAGTCTAATGTATAGATGATCTAGGGACGAGTAGACATAGTTCTGATCCGTGTTGTCTGATGCACGGAGTCCGTTTGGGTCAACAGAGTTACCCCAGATGACTAGCACCACGGTCGTCAGAGAAGTGATAAGAGCGAATAGAATCAACCAGTCGTCGGCTTTCAATCCGGCGCGGGTGAAGATGCGAGTGTAGAAGCGGAGCACAACAGAGAGGATAGTCAGGACGATGACGAACCCATTGATGCCCCATGTGGTGTTGTGCCGACTGTCGTGAGTTGTCTGCGGAGCGGAAGCCATCGCCGTACTCTCTTTTCGATTCCCGCGCTAGAAATATTGATATAGCAATCAAGATAATGTCGCTATAGATGGGAATATATCAATTTCCTTGCGCTCTACATGGACGGACTATCGAGCAGTCTATTACACTGCTGTGCTATCAAGACATGTTGTGATAGAGGTTTAAGAAGCGTGAGATTACATAGCTCGCGCAATTGTAAGCCACAGCTACTACAAGGCAGAATTGACCAAGCATACTCGAGGCCTGCAGATCTCAGGAGGCAGGGGGCGTATTACATATTTAGCCGTCCATTGATACTACAGCCAAAGTCGTGGCGGCCCCCAATGTCACGTTGTTGGTGGCAGAATACCATGATTACCTTGATGAAAAGGTGGTCCTGTCATATTTTAGATCTCGCATCTAAAAGATAGGATAGAATATTACTACCAATCTACGCATATAGTGATGGACTAGTATAACAGGTAGTATACTACTGTTGGTAGAAAAACGTACAATAAACAGCAAACCGAGGTAAGCCTTCAAGACTTCAAGACGAGAATAAACTGAAGGTAGAAGATATTTAGATCTTGTATGTGGTAGGTATACCGTATACGTGTGGTGTGCATTGATTGGGAGGGAGGGATTTGGATCCTTCCCTCGTGTACGTACTAAGAAAATAATAGGTATACCGTAACTTAATTCAAGATTAGAGCGCCACAGCCGTGTCTTTGTTCCTCAGCCATTCTACTATGTATATACGATAGCATACTCTCATCCAATAGCATGGCTAGGCATAATTTGTAAAAATGACGTTGAAAGCAAAAGTATTAAAATCTAGGACACAGCAGTGTTTAATATATTCATATATGAATTTTGATTGGCCGGTTCCTTTTTCGGTGTGAACGGTGGGGTAGGGCTGAATCCCGGATGATACATGCCTAACCTAGGTACCTACATAGGTCTAGTTTCAATGATCTGCTAGATCCGAACCTGACTTAGCTAGATACAGTATAGACCAATCTTGATACTGTATATACGCACTATATAAGTATACACGAATACTTAGGTATGTAGTTACACCTTTTCCTACCTTTACCTTTTTAAGGTTAAGTTAGTCACCGAGTTTGCTACAGCAGAATGAGGCGAACCACAAAAGACAACTAAATAACCACTAAGGCAATGCTGCCCAACTCTGAATCTCGCCAGTCTCACATGTTCAACACTGGATGTTCCAGACACTTCACCAAATGCAGAACTATCGTAGTCTCAACCAAAGTTATAAAAAAAATAAAAAATTCGCCTCATTCTTGTCGATGAAAGAAGAAGGCACTCAGAGCGATGGGCAGGTATAGTTCCCTTTTCGTCTCCTTACTTTTCTAGCTGCTTTCTTAGCATACATTCCTCAGATCGTTCAATGTGACCTCTTGATAGATACTCTCTTGTCACCAATAGCCAGAATGGTTTCTGCCTGTATACGGCCTGTAAACCGACTTTTGTGATAGCATGGTCTCGTAAGATATGAGCAAGTCACGGGAACGTCCGGTTTACAACCCGGTGCGGTATTACTCACGGTACTACTTACGGTATTTTTTATACCGATATGACCTCCGAGAGTCGGGTTCTACCCGATGACTCACCCGGAAGTCCGCTCACTTGACCTCTATCCATGTCACCGGGGATGTAATTGCGGTGCCCGAGTCGGTGCGCAAGGTGACAGAGGCTGGGCCGTAAGGAACCGCGGTTCGAGCGGCAACCAACTTGCTTATACATGAAGCAGAAGCAGCACTTCCTTTGTGTACATGACGCATACTGCGCCCCACGTCTGGCGACTACCATCGCCAGCGAAGCTGTGATTCGTATATAACGGAGGAGCAGCAACCGCTCGCCCAATCCTCACCGAGATCGGCGGCGGGCCCGCGGACCAAGAAGCGCTTCACACAGGCTCCCAAGGGTGGCGACCAGATCCGAGTCCCAACTCCGGCTCTTAGCAGGGCTGGTCATGATGTGCTTTCTGGGGCGCAGTGCGAATGAAAGCATGTGAAGAGGGCCTTGGTGGGACACGATACTAAGCTGATGAGCTAGTGTTGGTCAATCACTGTCACGATGGCATCGATAGTGGGATAAGAGACGTCAAGGCTATGGGGAAAATGAACGAGAGAGAATGGGTTTAGTCGAATCTCGAAGGAAGAATGGATGCCTAGTGTTAGTGGAGATTTGTTACGTTTGAACGATGGGGCTTGCGGAGAGGTGGATTCTCGATGCAGGGACCGCAGCCAGGGTAGTAGAAGCCCAATCGCCTTGCTGAGCTGGCGACGAAGCCAGTCAGGCCAGCCTCTCAACAGTAGGCGAGACGCGGTATGCACGGTTTGAACATACCGGGGGGGCCTGTAAGGACTTATCATACGGTGAGCCAGATCATGGTACAATACATGGTACATATCCATGGTACATATCCCTCCTGCTTGGATTAGAAGAAGTTATCAGGAATCCAATTGATGCGCTCTGTATCAACTGAGCGGGTCGGAGAGAAGGTAGATTACTCCGAATTGCAACATAGGCTTGCCGGATTTAAAATATTAACTACATAAAGGAAGAGATGATCAGATTACGCAAATCGAACCAGCTGTTTTTAAGATTTGTCTTGGGTAGGTAGTCTGACTTGATTTTTACTTCATCAATTGTACGATGGTGGTGGAGAATGGATTGGATAAGATATGCATGATATGCACAAATAGTAGAGAGGGAGAGGTTGGGTTGAGGCGGTAAGTCGATAGTGTAAGTATACTAACATATGTAGTAACGATAACAGGAAAAGAATAATGATACGATCTTTCCCCCCCAATCGTATGCGTTCCATATGCATCAACCCATGTGATCCCCTAATGATCCCTAGTTATTCTTATCCACTCTCCCTCTTTTTCCCAGTCGCGGCTTCGCCTCTGCTCGTGCCACATCGCGAACCTAACTCGAAGCATTCGTGGCCATTTGGTCCAAGACCCGCCTATTGGTTTTGACGGCTGCCAACTCGACAACGATGCTTTTGCGTTTCGGGCTCGAAACACCGTGCGGCCATGTGTCGGCGGGAAAGACCCGTTAGACAAGAGCATGTCAATGCAATGAAGCAGCCAATGAGAAGACGAGATAGGATGTGCTCCATGCAGGTGTTACAGCTCATCGCTGTGAGGTGGCGGGAAGAGTAGACACATGGCTGGCATAGCGGAAGGAAAATTATGAAAGGAAAAAAAGAAAAGGAAAAATACATCGTGTATGGGCCCTGGAGAAATTATATGGAGCCAGATCAAGGTATAATAATATGTCTGGTCCTGTCATGGCGATATTAGAGGAATTGGGATTTAGTAGACTCAAACATACGTCAAAGATCAAAAGGTAAAGTTTTAACAAGAAGAATAAGACCCAGTTCATCATTTCCGACTGGTACTTTCTTCTGCTTCTTCTATATAGACGGTCTATATTCAGATATACAGACTAACACCGAATAGAAGAAGAAGAAGAAGAAGAATAGAGAGCTCACAATGGCTTTCTCGCTGACTTCGAAGCAAATCGAGCTTCGCGGCTCGTGGCTCGTGGCCTCGGTGCGAAAACCTGAAGATGGCTCTTGGACCTTCTCCAGACTCAACCTCAACGAACACATTGGCAACAATAATGGCACCTTCGATATCACCATGGACCGTTGGCTCAATTCCGCTCAGGAATGGTCGGTCCACCTTCGCGGCCCATACCTGTATGCTCGACTGCGAACTATATCTGGCGCATATGCCGAGGAGTCGTGCATCAATCTAGATCTGTTCGTCAGGAATCGGGACGGCATCCTCGAGTTCCAGAATCTGTATGTTTTTATTTTCATTTTTATTTTTTAATTTAGCCCACTAACTAATGTAACACTCGGAGTTATTATGACGAATATCAAAAACAATTAACTAATTCCTCCGTAGCGGCGATTCCCTTCTACTCTACACCGCGGGCTTGACGCTCGATAACGCCATCCTGCGGGGCCTGGTCGTCGGCAGGGATGGCAAGTTCCACACGTCGGAGATCGATCTCGACGAGTACTACGGCAACATCGGCGGCAAGTTCGAGGTCGACGAGAAACATTACTCGCGATCTGGTCGCAACTTTAGCCTCAAGCGGGACTCGAATAGCCTCAGACTCATTGGCGAACTCCAGGACTACGAAGGTGTCCATCACCCGGCCGAGGTAGACCTCAGCGCCTGCGTCGTGAACCGGAAGGGACGCCTAAGCTTTTCCAAGCCGTATGTTTGTCACTATGTATTACAGGCCTTTGCCCGTCTCGTCCTGGCTCCGCTCCCCTCCACGTATTTAAGCCTGTGTTATGAGTTCAAGTCTAGTATAGGTAGCTTACCATTTCTTTCCAGTGCCGACTCCATCGAGAGAGAACATTGGACGAGCGCTATCGCTGAACAAGTCCCAGTCTTCGGACCCGCCGTCGCCGGTTTACATCGTTCTTACGATGAGAGCCGAACTGAGGTCAGTCAATTCACCTAATCCCTATTCACCCAGATAAGTTGCTAACCCATGTTGAGTATTTAGAACCAGTGCTATTATGAAATAGCAACTAGCACAAATTCGGCATCCTTCACAATTGGTATTGCTATTGGCGCTTTCATCGGACGCGCCTGTGAAAGCCCAATTATCGGAACAGTCCTCGGGGCTGTACTCAGCAACACTGCCGATGTTTTCGTCGAGGACCAGATCGTCAATGCGATCGAAGATCCCCACGCTCGAAGCCAGATCCAAGAGGCCAAGCTGGGAAGCTTTGTCTCCGAGGCTCTCCGCAACCTAATTGCTACGGAGCAGACTGCTGCCGCTGCTGAATTCCTCAGCGCTTCTTTCAACCCCGAGATCGATGTGTGGAAGAAGGGACTCACGGCCTGGCTCGAGAAGCAAAACTTGACCCTCCTCGCTGACCTTTCCCTATTCGCCACCATGAAGAAGTACGCATTTCATTCATTCATAATTCAATTTCGCTACACATAACTAACATGTTAATGTACAGGGTTTTCAAGCAACTACAAGGCGAAACTATCGAGGAATGGCAAAACACGCTCCTAGAGATGGAGAGCCTGAAGCAGCGTGCCCAGACTCTAGAACTTAAGCCAGAAGACCCCCCTGTGGTTGTAGTGGAAGAACCCGAGGCAGTTGAGCCCGAGGCCATCGAGGCTCCCGAGACGGCAACCGAGGCCGAAGCATCAAATGAAGCCGAAGCGAGCAAGACCGACGGAGCTAGCGAGCTCGACGTAACCGACAAGGCCCCAGAAACGAACGGAGCCGAAGAACCAGCCGGAGCTGCTGAGCCCGCAACCGAGGCCACGACAACTGAAGCCGCGAAGGCCACTCCCGCACCCGAGACCTCAAACACAGCAAGTAGCTCCACGCGCGCCAGCTCCGACAAATCGGTTCTCAAGGATGCTTCCAAGAACGTGTCCAAGACCAACATCCCCAGCTCTACCAACCCGAACGTGTCGACCAAGCGCTGGCACAGCGTCATCGGCATCCCGGTCTGGCGTAAGAGCTGGTCTCGGCCGCGCCAGCAGCGCGTCGTATGACTAGATGATCCCTTCACGAACGAGGGGTATCGACACTACACCTACGACGCATATTAGTTAGCTAGTTAGGCACTTGCCTAAACTACCGACTCGGTTTGATTTGATGATACGAGACCACACGCGACACAGACACGAAGGCACGCAAAGGCCCGCAGGCAGGGAAAGAAACGAAACGAAACGAAACGAAACGGGAAACTTTCGAATAGTCATGCATGCATATATGGAAAATATATATAACGGACACAAACACAAACACATCAAATACCACGTCCTCCAAGATTGAGGCTCAGCGCGGGGACTTACAAACAAGCAAACAAATAAACCATCAAACATTTTTGGCTGGCTGGCGTTATTACCATTACTGTCGTTTCATCTACTACCATTCATCTGTAAGAATACTAGGGCACAGGGAAATGCGGCACAAACCACAATTACCACAACAACATCATCCAGAGAGAGTGAGAGTTATAACGGTCTTGTTTTGATTTCATACCATTTACCAAATTAGGTACCTATCTATCTAGGTTAGAGGGAGTTGCACGCGTCCGCCGAACCAACACGGCCGAAACAAAAACTCCAAATTCTGCAAAGAATAGTCATTTTCGAGTTTAGCTGGATTATGCGAGGGAGGGAGGTGTCCGGGGAGGGATGGGGAAACAGTAGTTTAGCTTTTTATTTTATACACACATCAGTCGTGCTCGATCAAACCGCAGTCTCATTACTTTATTTCTCCTGTCCCGCCTGGTTTCGTCTTTCTACCTAACCTTTGTACAGTACATGCTTGAAATGAACCCGTGAAGCTTGTCGAGTCCTGTTTCGATGGATCTTTCCTAGAGGTACTCGGAAAAGAGACAAAATAAAAACCAAACTAACAAGTCTCCGTAACGCCCATGCTATGCAGTACTGAGCCTGTCCTATGTTGCGCTGATCAGGTGGCAACAATCCAGATATTATCAACCGAAAAAAAAAAAAAAACTATGCCAATCAATCCTCTTTAACTCTGCTGCAGCTGTGATTGGATTCCGGCCGATCCAGACACCGGTTCACTCCCCACGGGCAGAGGGCACATACGAGCCGAGCGCATGCGTGCACGCCACAACCCATCCCATTAGACATCATGTCCTAAAAGTTCTTGTGCTGCACGGTGCTGTTGCGGGCGCCCGGCCGAAGATCATGCACGTTGAACTCTAGCTTGTCAGTCTCGTAAACGTGACCCGGTGGAGACTGCGCCTTCGTGTAGAGGTTATCCATAGCGTGTGGATGGAAAGTGCTGGTCTGTGTGCAACCAAGGATGTAGTCTAAACCAGGAGGCTTGGTGAGGCGGAATATGCCATAACTATAAATAACGTGTTAGCAATCACATGTGCCACGGATGAATAAAAAAGGCATGGGCAGTGAAAGAGGAGAACTTACGAAGGCTCAAAGCTCGGAGCACAGACGATAGCTATACTCTCCGGCATCATAATCTGATAGCCAGATTGGGTATGCAGGTCCCTAGAACTCATGAAGCAGGTTTGGGTTGGGTGCGTGTGAATCCAACCTAATATTATTAGGTCGTTATCCATACAGTACTCTAGCATGGTGTTTTCGTTTTCCGTCTCGCACGTGTCCGAGGTGCTGGTTTGTTCGGGGATCAATAGACAACGCACGAATAAGGCGTTCTTAACAGCAGTTCCGCAGAGGATACCGCACATCTCGAGGCCACGCCGAGTGTTTTCCGCAGCGATTGACAAAAATCGGTTGCGTAATTGACTAGGTAAGAAGACGGATCGGAGTGGTTCGCCACTTTCGAGGTAGGCCGCCGGTTTAAATGTAAGGCGTTGCTGTTCCTTCTGGGGCGCAGTAGACTCTTCACGTATCTTAGGCGGGAGGGTAGGGAGTTCTTGAGATGTCTCGGGAGTTGGGAGCGTCCTTTCGGGGGATGAATGTACCTTAGCAGGGGGCTCCGGTGCAGAAGTATGACTCGGACTAGTTTCAGACCGGCGAAAGATCTCTTCTTTGGGTGGTCGGAGAGGTTGAGGAGTTGATGGTTTTCTGGCATGGGCGTGCTCGGCCTCGTATTGAATAGGCTGAGATGGGGAGATAGATGGGTATCGATAGCTTGTTGAGGGACTCGCTATTGATGAAGGGCGCGAGTGTTTTCGTGGAATGTTGTTCGTGTAGCCACTCTCATCTCCATCTAACGTCTTTCTCATTGACTCCATCTGCCTTCGGAAAAGTTCTTCATCTTCAGCTTGTTTGTCAGCTAGCTCAGTCGTCCAGTTGTTCCAGAAGCCCGCACCGCGTGTATCTTCCTCACGCGATACACCGGTCTTTCTAGTCGCCCCCCTATTTGTATCCCTACGGCGGAACTCCCTCTCGGCCAACTCAACTGCGAGATCCTGATAGTCACCGGCATTGAGCAATCGATGTGTGGAAGATAAGGCAGGGTCTCGGGATGCGCGCTCTTCGTAGGACAATGGCGACTTAGACTTGAGATGATTAGCCTCCTGCTTTTGGCGGCCCTGTTTCTTAGACTGTGCCTGCCACACATTATAATCCTGCTCGATAATTGGTTTAATCCTCTCGAGATTGGACATGACATCCCCAAGGGATTTGTATAATTCGTTGAGAGCCCTTTTTTCCTCGGGAGCTCTAGCGCCGGGATGTCTAGGCAGTCTCTTCGTAACGAGATCTAAATATCGCATATAGATGAGGTAGGCTTGAGCGAAATTGCCATCACTCAGATAGCTTCTACCCTAAGAAAGATCCAAAGTCAGCACTATATCGAACGAGATAGGCCATACGTGATGCTATTTACCTCTAGGAATAGTGTGTTGGCAGTGCGCAGCCAAAACTTCAGCGGTATAGCAGGATCCCATTTGAATCCCTCTGCCTCGCCAACTATCTCCTTGATAGCTAGTGGGCGGTTGGCAGACGGGAACGTGGGATTAGTCGGGGCCATCTTCGCATCATCTACACTGCTGCGCAGCAGGCTATACCCCAGGGAGTAAATAATATAGCAGATAGAGCTTCATTCGATTTAGTGGATAAGTATTTGTTATGTCTCGACGTAGTATATGAGAGGAGCTCTTCTTTCTGGCTGCCTAGTATTAAGCTTGCGTGTTGGTTTGCGACGGGGAAAAAGAATGTTGATGTTGAAGGGAGAGGCGGCTTGTAAACCCTTGTGACCCTTCCCGCTACTAAGCGCTAGAATTAATTTTAGGTATCAAGGTAGGTAGGTATCAAGGATGTATGGCAGGCACGGCAAAAGAGTGTAGGCGGGGTCGTACCGGAATGGCGGGGCAATCTGGAGATAAGTCGCAATTATATTTCCTCTAACCTAACCTAGGTAGGTACCTACATTATGCAGTGCTCAAAAGGCACGCCTATTACGTCATGTGTTAACCTATCGTATAGGCAGCTATGTACTTGGAATTCATAGCTTTTCCTGTGGCTTGATAATCCATGTGGTACCTAGGTATATTTGAAGATCAACCTTATATGTTGCTTAGAGGTATTTTAAATCGATAGTTAACATATATATCTGAACAACTCCAGAGTTATAATAGATGAACGTGATAATCTTTTAACCATATTAAATTTTCATTCACTCCTTATGAGAATCTTAACTCTTTGACTCTCTTGCGAACTAGAATTCTTTCATCGTGTCTTAGCCCTTTGCTGCTACTTTCCCTGGTGCGCCACCTCCCGCTTGTAGTCCTGCTTGGGCTTGGATGATCTCTCCCTTTTTCTTTTCGATTTTCTCTTGTAACTCCTTGATCTGGTCTTCTGTCCTTTCACTATAGAGGTAATCTTAGCTCATGAAAAGCTACAGGTGAGACAGTTCAAAATTTAAAATAAAACTTACAGCTCCTTGCTAATAAATTCCAAGCGTCCGTTGACTGTGGTCTCGGCCTCGATTTTATCTTGCTTCAATAATACTGGGCCAGCTAGTTTGTAGATGTTCTCGCCATCCTTAAGACGTTCAAATTCCTGTCTCCTATAAGTCCTTTGGTCACAAGCTATGCGTGATATGGTATCGCCCTAAACTGACTTTCTGCACATTTGTGTTCTCTTGCTTCTGAGCCTCGAGCTTTTGCCTCGACTGCACAGCGGTTTGTAACTCCTGCTGTAGCTTGGTGAATTCTTCAGAGAGACTCTGAAGACGTGCTTGAACTTCGGCCATGGTCTGTCTGTCTTAGAGCCTGCTGCTAGAGGCTTTATTGTGCTGGTGCAATCCTGGGTCTCGATAATATAACGCTGTATACCGATGTCGAGCTTTCAATTGGTAAGAATACCCTTTGCTTTGGAGATAGTTATGCACAAATTCAAAACTGTAGATTTGTAAATTTAGTGAATCGAGTGTGACTTGGACCTCTTAGCTCTTGTAAAGACCGGCGCTGGCAAACTCAAGTTTGATGCTACCTCTTCTTTCAATGCTACCTGTGGCTGCTGTAGGGTTGTGGCTTAAGTGGTAGTCATGCCAACCAATCAATAATATTATAACCCCTCTAAGATAAGATATTATCTAAACCTTGCCTATTACTATCATTGAAGGGGGGACTTGTATTGAGTACCTCTTACTCCACACATCTTACTTGCCACCCAAAGGTACCTCCTACCACCGGTCTTTTGTTAGACGAGAGTGAGCGGACCTTCTTGATTGCATCGTAATTCGTAGTTTGTAGTTGCAATTCCAGCCCAGTTCAGTCCAGCGCCGAAGTTTAAAACCCAACAACAAAATAACTTACACTACAACATCTCCACCAGCTCGACACATTTGCTTCCTGCTCCTCTCCACCTGCCATATACCTCAATTCGCATCGGTTATAAACACACGGGCTCGAGAATGTCCAACACCGATTTTCTCAGTCGAGCGATCGACACGGTGCATCGCGCTGTGACCGCCGACAAGGAAGCCGAATACGAAAAGGCCTACCAACTCTACTACCAATCCCTCGAGTTGTTCATGTTGGCTTTAAAATGGGAGAAAAACCCCAAGTCCAAGGAGATGATCCGCCAGAAGACGGGCGAATACATGGACCGCGCCGAGAAGTTGAAAGCTCACCTCGCCGATGCCGATGCGAAGCGTAAGAAGCCTGGCCTGGTCGGTGCTAACGGCTCGTCGACAGGCGGGACGGGCAAGGGAAAGCAGAACGGCGAAGAGGGCGTCGACGAGGATAATAAGAAGCTACGGAATGCTCTCGCTGGTGCTATTCTACAAGACCGACCGAATGTCAAATGGGACGATGTTGCTGGACTGGACGGCGCAAAGGAAGCACTCAAAGAGGCTGTATTACTTCCCATTAAGTTTCCTAATCTATTCCAAGGGAAACGCAAGCCGTGGAAGGGTATTTTGCTCTACGGCCCTCCTGGTACGGGTAAGAGTTATTTAGCAAAAGCGGTTGCTACAGAAGCAAATAGCACATTCTTCAGCGTGAGCAGCAGTGACTTGGTGAGCAAGTGGATGGGTGAGAGTGAAAGGTACGCTTGCTAAGACCATATTTCGAGCCGAGGAGCCATGAACTGACATTTTCTTGGCACATAGGTTAGTCAAGCAGCTCTTCGCTATGGCGCGAGAAAATAGGCCTTCTATTATTTTTATCGACGAAGTAGACGCCCTTTGCGGTCCTCGAGGCGAAGGTGAGTCGGAAGCTTCCCGAAGAATTAAGACCGAGATGTTAGTCCAGATGGACGGTGTTGGCAATGATTCGACGGGCGTGCTGGTATTAGGCGCGACCAACATCCCTTGGCAATTAGACGCTGCTATTCGAAGACGATTCCAACGAAGAGTACATATCAGTCTGCCGGACATTGCTGCAAGAACTACCATGTTCAAGCTAGCCATTGGAGAAACACCCACCACACTAAAGAACGAGGACTATCGAGAATTAGCAAAGCTTGCTGAGGGTTATTCGGGAAGTGATATTACCATTGCCGTACAAGACGCCCTCATGCAGCCAATACGCAAGATTCAACAAGCCACACATTTCAAAGAGGTAACCATCAAACAAATTCCTTCGTGAGTAGTTTCCTCAGGTACTAACATCTAATCCGTAGGTTCAAAAAGACGGCGATACACTCGTAACACCATGCTCGCCAGGGGACCCTAACGCGAAGGAGATGACCTGGGACGACATAGATCCAGAGAAGCTACTCGAACCACTAGTAGACTTCAAGGACTTCGTAAAAGCTATCAAGTCGTCAAGGCCGACAGTGTCTGAAGAGGATCTCAATCGTAATTCGGAATGGACCAAAGAGTTTGGAAGCGAAGGGAACTAGGGGAGGCTACGGAGCGCACCGGCATTAGCAGGCGTTTTGGGCGATCTTCATCATTGTTTGTGCACTTTGCGACTACCTATTCGAGTTCGTTGGCCATTGAAATACATATGATTGCTTGTGCTAGATATCATGGCAACCGATAATTACCCATACCTCTACGCGCTGATGGAGGTACCGTGCAGTCGGGCTCATCCATGTCCTCTTATGCGATGTGATGATCAAATCCTAGGTCGATATGAGACTATGAAACCTATCCGATTTTGGCGGGAGGAGGTCAGGAAGGGCAGCGAGAGAGAAAATACGACTCTGATGAGGATTATATTAATTCGGCTATTAATTCGGCACGTTAATCAACATCAACGTCCTACAGATCGAAATCAGCCCGCCTTACAAATATTGCCAGATCAGATATAAACTAAGAAGTACGATGTCGTAAAACTATTCCGTATTAAAGTACCTTATTACCAAATCATCGAATCATGGCCTAGGTATTGATAGAACATATGCATAAGTACCTAAGGTACCTCAAGTTACGAGTAACAAATCATAACAGCTAGCAGCATAAACATGAGCAGTAGAAACAAACTATATTCCCCTCGACTCGTTGATTCATAGACACTAAGTTCCACTAAAACCAGCAGAATAACGATGGGTATGAACCTACCCTATACACAACCACGCCTGGAGAAACACCTGCAAATCCGGAACGCCCAACCGATGCCTAGTTCAACTGTATATCTTTTCAACGTCTGCGGGACGGCACATATTCTTACTCGTCCGCGTGCTTCTTCTTCTTTTTCTTTTTCTTGTCTCCGTCTGCCTCAACTTCCACCAGGCCGTTTACGTCGCTATGCTTGCGCTTCTTTTCCTTCTTGTCCTTGGATTTCTTTTCTTTCTTAGGCGCAGCGGCATTGGCTTGGGGATGAGCATCGATCATCTCTGTGTCGATAGCCAGACTCTGGCCATCGGCGAGGATATCGGCCATTGCTTGGTTCTATTCGTGCGTTAGTAACTTGAGAAGCAGGAAAGCAAAGAGGTAGACATACCATCGCATCTGCGTTCTTAGTTGGCTTTTTGCCAGTAGCATAGAATTCCAAGCGGTCTTCAACTTGTCTTCTTAACGCATCTCCAAACTTCTTTGACGGCTGCTCAGCAAAGTTGTCAATTCGGCTGGCAATACTACACTTGTTTGCGAGATATCGCGAAATACGACCCTTGTCCTTTTGACTTGCTCGGCCAATATACGTGCTGTGGTAGATAAGACCAAACTTGGGGGTGTTACCCTTCGTCTTCAAGGCACGGAACAGAGCCTTCTCGGCACCAAGAATCTGGAGCGTAGAGGCCGGATACTTGGACAGGTTTGTCAGAGAACCAGCCTTTTGAATAAGACGAGCAGCAACGACTTCACCGATGAGCGCAGCTAGATTAGGCGCAACTGTGCTCATCTTATCGACCAAATAACTATAGAGCGTTCTTCGGTACTCGGCGAGTTTAACTACCTTGCCGGCGAAGGTGGAGATGTTATTCATATCAACTTCTGACAGCTCTCGCCCCATGGATATCTTAGCCCTGCCAAGGATCTCCTGCGCCTTCTCTTCGTCATCGTTGACCAGAGCGGCAACCTCGTGAAGCCTGTCCTCCGACAGGGTAGATTTGTCACCAATAAAGAGAGCCAAGCGTGAATAGGTCAAGTTGTCGGAGACAATGCTAAAGAGCTCAGGGAAATGCCAGCCGTACCACTCTCGTACTTTTTGAGAGAATAGATTGATGCCCTTATCTAGGTTGTCTAGAGTGGCAATGGCTCTGATGATATGGTTGTCATTCTTGTGGACGTTGAACTTGACCTTTCCACGCGAGTAGGCATGGCCAAGACCCAGCTGGGCTCTCTCTACATCTCCCTCTTGGAGACCCTTTAGCAACTTGGCTGCGTGAAGACGGATACCTCTTAAGAGGTCGGCGACGACCTCAGACGTATCTCCCGTCTCGCACTCAACGCCGGGGAAAGCAGCCTTGATAGAACCAGCCAAGTTTTTATCGGCGACACCAAGGATTATCTTGCTCTTCTTCGATTGGGGCAGGTTCAATTCGAGATTGGACTGGAGATAGTCGGGGAGTATACCCTCCGAAATAAGATTAATGTTCTCGAGCGCGTCGGCAGCATTTCTAGGAATCATGGCGTCAGCTATTTATCATAGGGCACATTGAGAATCAAAGTCGGCCGTACCTCCAAGGCGCAAAGTTAACCAATTGCACCATCTTGCCAAACTTGGAGAGGTCCTGACCAGCCTTCTGGACCTCCTTCAGGTGCAGACCAACAGCGTCCTGCTGGTGGACAACCTTGAAGATAGCATATCCGACAGCGGACTCATGCAGCAGAAAGTCTACTCGCGTCATCTTGCCCGTTGAATAAATCCTTGCGTGGATTTGCGCATACAAGATTATCGTGTTAGGCGTATGTGATGGGATGAAAAATTGAAGCTCTGCGAAGAAAAAGGTACAAAAAATTTGTCGAGCTCAGGTCCCCACTAGAAGGTACGTACCCAAGTCGGCTAAACTCCGGAATAATTAAAGTACTTAGGTACATGCGCATGTAACCATTGAATTGCCTAACCTACATGCAGGTTAGATAGGTCGATTGATATTTTTTGGCGATGAAACCATTTCTAACCAAATATAAGGTAAGGAAAGTCATCAGGCTGTTGACATATCACCACCTTGCCTCAGGACCTATCCTGACATTTTAGAGAAGCATTCATTAGGTAATTATAGCACATATTTCCAAGTCTGCCTAGTTTATTGGATATTTGATCTAACCTACCGAATAGGTCCTTTCTTTTGAAGAATGCATAACCCATACTGTTCCCAATAGTTGAACACGATCATCACAGCCAAGCCTCAGACAGTCGGGATGTAGGTAAGTGTTGCATACAAAGACTCTTCCATTGCCATGATATCAACTCTGATGACAGTATACCAATAGAAGTGAACCAGACAAGTTGATATTTATCTCCAACATATCACATTTAGCATTTAGAAACAAGAATGCCACCCAGTTAAGTTACGGAGTCCCTCCAACTCCAACCGAGTCATCTACGGTCTTCTGTATACTTCCAAATTACTCCAGGACTCCGACACTAGAGACAGCAACGTTGCGAAGTACATTGCTGCCTCAAGGCTGGCCTAAACTAGATGACTAGTTTTACTCGGCGTTCTTCTACTTGGAAGCTATCACCTGTTGGTACTTAGCGCTTGTCCAGTTGCTTCGGGAAATTGTCATAAATTCAACTTCTCTGAGTATTCCTAGTTATATGACCAGATGAGTGTCTTTTTGAGGAGTTCTGCTAAGGTTCTATTAGGTAGCTTTATCCTTCAGCCTCAATCAGCATACCGTCATACTCTCAGACCCTAGGACCATGCGACAGCATTACTCAACGTGATAGATCCTAATAATAGATATTTAAGAGCAATACCATCAGCCTTTCTATCAGTATATCTGTTAAACAGAAAATTGCCCAGTATCCTCCCTTAGGTTCCATTTTATTTGACAACAACAACAACGACGACAACCATCTTCTTTTTATATCCATCAATTTTATAGGACAATAAGTATATTGCCATACCAAATACCGACCCATTAAAATATGAAAAGATGAGATTATCTCTATTATGGCTTTTGTTTTAAATATTCAGGTTTTATTAATATACCTTGGCAGTAGTCTAAGCAAAGCTATAATAATGAACAACGTGGTGAATATATATACACTTTTTCTTTTCTCTTTAACTTGGAATAAATATTAATTCATGTATTATTAACATGTTTTTTATTAATAATAGAATTATATAAAAGATTCTTTTGTTCCTTAAGTTTTGGCGGTTTCGGCGGTTTCGGCGGTTTCGCTGTATTTTTAGACTTTATGATATTCTTTTCCATTTTCATCTTCTTTTATTCCTGCCTGTGATCTCTTCATGTTAAAAGCTTTTGGGATGGTCAGTCATATTGTAAACAATAATAAAATCATTTTATTAAATCATATAGTTACAGCCAATTCTCCAACCTTAATTATAATTTATCTAAGCTCTTAATAAGTCAAAGCACCTTTACGGGGGCCACCTTAGTAGGGGCCACCTTAAAAACGCAACGCGTTTGCAATAAAGTCCACATACGAATTATTATATAATTTTATTAGTTTTTAGTTAATTAAAAAATAAAATTTATTATTTAAATCCTTATCTTCTTACAATTCTAAAATGCTTACTTTCTTAGCTTAATTGCGTTGTGTTACAGCGATAAACAACGTTCTTAACAGCGCATCCTTGCGGCAAGCGTTTAAAAAACACCTTATATCATAACACTGAACTGGTGTGGTGCCACATCGCCAAGAGCAAGGGTATTATTATGTAATCTTAGGTTACAGGCCATATAAAGGTCTAATATTCGTCGTATTCTTCTGATTAAATAGCCACGATCATCACCATTCAGTTATGCATTTAATATAAACATATTCGTTATTTTCCCATATTTATAGCTTATGGCCCTATTTTGCGTATTTATCTTATATATCCTATCCGATCAGTAGATCCTTACAGTTCTTCCAGAGTATAGTGCTATCATTAGCTGTTTAGGGCCTTTTACGAGGATTTAAACGTTGAAGTGATATGCTATACTTTGCAGGAGATACCAACTCCTGTTCAACACTACCTTACAAACCGAATATTGGGTTATAGAATATAAGACAACTATTTAAAAAAACGTTAAAAGCTATTAAAATATTAAGAAAAAGAATTAGCTAATTAAACCGTTATATTAAGCCGTATTAACTATATGTTTCTTTTATATCGATTTAAAAATATTGTAAAAAGATTATTAGCCTATAATTACCGGCCTAATATTTTTAATAAATATTAATATATACAATTTTTATTTCGTTATTTTAATATTAAATTGGCTAAGGTTTATTTAATTGATTATAAACGAGTTAACGGGGCTATAGTTGATAATATTAATATCTTTTTTAACTAATTTGAGGCCTTTAAGATCAAAAATATCTTGGTTAGGCATACGTATAGTGCTAACGAAATGGAGATTATAAAAGGGGTTGGGGATAACGGGATAATCATTGGCGAAGCTTATAAGAAGCGTATTATGGTTAAAGATTATAGTAATAAAACCTAAATGTCAATTATTAAATGCGTTAATGGTAATAGTTAATTTTTAAATTCCTTTATTATATATATAAGTAAATATATATAATAATAGTAATTTTCTAACAATAAAAACGTTAAATTTAAAAGTTAAAAGTTTATTATATTTTTTAATAACTAAACTAATAATAATATTGCATTTAAATAGTTTTGTAAGGTTTTTTTAAAAAAAACGAAATTATTAAATTGTTAGTAATAACAATTACTAATCCTCAACGGCCATAGTAGCCATACCACGATAAAATTCCTTTAAGAATATTTTATAAATAAGGTTTATATTATTTTTATCCCAATACACTTATTGCACGTTTTATAAATTATTAATATGGATATATTTTCATTAATAAAACAAAGTTATTGTTATAAATTTATTAAGATATGTTAATTATATTATATTTTTAATTTTAATAAAAAAGAATTTATTACGGCTTATTAAATAATATAAAAAAAACGTTTAACTAGATATAATATATTAATTAGCTAAAAAACTATAGAGATTTATTTTAAAAATTGAAATAAACTATTAAATTATCGGCTTATATTCTGGAAGGCTCCTAATATTATTCTAATTTTTTCGAACTTTATTTCTAACTTAAAAAAATTTAATTTTATCGAAAATATAACCCTAATCCCTTTAACAACGCCTTTAAATTTATAAAATATTAATATTTTAGTTAAAAAATTATTTAAAATTGATATAACGTTTATTAAACCTATAATAAAATTTTTATTTAATAAGATTAATAAAACCTTCGATAAAACTATTATAAAATTAGCTATAATAAAAACCTGCATCAAATATTTAAAAAAGGCATTAGTAAATATAAAACTGTAAAAATAATATAAAGTATTACTTAACCTAAATTCGACATTTATAAATATTAAAGCTATTATAAAAAAAAAGAAGCAATTAAAGGCTTAAAAATTAAGTAATACAGTTATAATTAGCAATTCCAATATCAATTTAAAAAATAAGGCCTTGTCAGTTAAGTCGATAGTAAAAGATTATATCGTCATTAAAATATAATAAATTATAAATTAATTAAATTTAATTTAATTAAATAACGTTAAATTAAAGTTAAGGTACTTATTTTAAAGGTTTAAAAATTTAAGGTAGCCCCCATTAGGGTAGCCCCTATAAGGGTGCTTTGATTTACAGATAAATGTTTTTATTATGTTATATTGGCATAGGAAACTGCTTAAAAACCTCTGCAGGACATGCCAATATATGGTCATAGGTCATTAGTAAAGAAATGTACTTGCCACCTGGCCCAGAGAGGCCAATCATATGCCGGTGAATGTTTTTTGGCTGGCATGGAAAGTACAGCAACCGGAAAGCATGGCGGCTGGGAGGTACGGCAATCAACAGGATATAATTGGCAGCAACAACGCCCCTAGCGCCGTTCCCCCCTTGAATAATTAATAGTGAATGCCTGAATGTTCTTACAGTACCTAGTACCTGAGATCTAATAGAAGGCACCTAGTGACTTATTCACTTGGATGCCATAAGCATGATGCCTTAGGTGTTCCCAAATAGGTTTACGGCAGGGGACAATCTAGGTTGGGATCAAACTTGTTTCATAATAATCTGTAAAGCCTATTGGCCTGAATGCTACCTATATAGCAAATACGTAGTTTTGCCTAGAGTAATGTAATCTAACGTTGTCTTATTGGTCTTGAAATGATTGTGAAAGTGTCCCCTACGTATCGATAGACTACGATAACAGTTTTAGTACCTTAAGAATCGTCAGGTACTAAGATTGGCATCGTCGTTCTTGCAGATTTAACTAGATACAAGTGCGGTACCTTGATGTCATCTGGTACATTGGTACGCGCGGTAGAGTCGTTCCTGCCGCCGCTTAACGCGTTACTTGCTCAAATCACCGCCTTCTCGGCAGTATTTAAACTCGTCCCCTCCCCTCCAAGAGATTTCTCTAGCAGACAACATCTTCAACATCAACATAATTTGCCTTACCTTGCAGCACATCCTTTCGCCGACACCGTTACCAAAATTCTAGGCACACTACTTAACAACTATCATCATACAACACGGGTGAATATTCCTTACATCAAATTATTATATTAATATTATCCATCTAACATTATTCTATTACCCTTAACTCCCTCTACTACCTCTACTATCTCTTCAACGCTATCCTTCTCACGGTATTCGACTATCAACCATATACAAAGGATATATTAGGGCTTATTACCACCTACAGCCATGGCACCTAACCTTGTAAGTAAAGAACCTGTCTCTAATTTTGTCCCCCCCGACCCTACCATGATAAATCACATAACATCCTCTCCCTAAACATCATATCACGAAGCATATGATGGACATTTCCCTCTTGTTACCCTCAACCGTCCCCCCTTCTACTGTGCTATCTCTTTGTGGCATGTTATATCGCTATGATGATACGCTGGAACCGGGTTTGCTATCCTCGCCCTCATCTTACTCACCAGCATGATCAAGAGCTGTATTCTATGGTGTAGAAGACTGGCTAATTACTATGCATTCATAGGACGCTGACGGCAATGAGATCGACCATCCAAATGCACAAGGTCGTATCCTCGCTAATGGGAAATTTTTGTGTGGGATCAACAACTGCGGCGCCGAGATGAAGAACGCCCGCCATAACATCAGTTCCCATATATCTAAGAAACACCGTATCAATTCGGCGTTCCTACAAGCAGACGCCATCAATAGGCGTTGCTGCGGAATTTGTGGTTTCAATGCCACAAAGTTTCATCTCCTGGTCCATCATGTCCGCACCAGGCATGGTTTTCGTGGTAGATCCAAAGTCCTCCAGGACCAGTATGCCACTACCCAAGTTGATGACGATATCCAAATCCCAATTGGTCAGTGTACCGCATAAATTACCGGTAAGCAATTATCTATCCTATTCTAGCTTTGTTAATATGATAACTAACCTAATTAATATCCAACTTAAACAGGCCAGATACGAAAGCCTCTAATACCTACGACACTCAAATACTCCCTTACAGTGGATTCATTGCTGGTTATTTGAAGCGATATGGGATTGATTCTATTATCAAAAATTACCTAAGTTTGTTTGAGCTTGAAAAGGTCAAGAGTGGCACTTGATTCGGTATTGGCACTTACTAGCCCCTGGATTCCCTCATGTACCTTAGGTATCTACCTAATCTATCTAGGTACCTAACCTCCCTAAGATCGAAAATGAAAACTTTACGAGAGAGAACCAATGAAGACTTTCCAATGTTCCCTTATTTCTGATAGCCTGTCTTAAATGGCCTGTAAATGATATCTTATCGTAAGCAGTCAGATGTATGTATTACCTAAGATATTCCTATACCTAAGTAAGCAATTGAACAAGTAAATGTGAAGTAATGCGCATCATGTGACTTAAGGTTTAAGGTTCTTTTGTTATACTTCCGGCAGCGGGCCGGCCCGAAGTGGGCCCCGAACGTCTAATCACGGCATGGGAGTTCTAATACCCGGTCCGGCATAGCGGGCAATTACTCATCAAAACTACCTAATTGGGAAATCGTCCAAATTTTGACTCCGTATTCTCCGAGAGGACAGGGGTTATTGGCCCAGTTTGTTTGCTAGGTATTAGTGATCGACTCCGCATTCTCCGCGAAAAGAAGATATCGGGTGATTGATCATACAATACCGGGGCAATTGGTCCAGCTATCTAATCGTACTCTGTTTGTGCTATAGCTAACGGGTCGTTAATCTTCCGCCATACCTAGTTCTGGCCAGACCATCGCGACGTCATTTAGCGTCCCCGATTTATCTCCTAAGGCGCGATTTTGCATCAGAGAAGTTTTATCGGGTAAATATCTACCAACAGCATCAAAATCAATGTGAATTTTTGATTGTGATTGGTGATGTTGGCCGGCACTTTGTAATGCCCGTATGAACCTAGCATACACTGTAGTATGAGTCCCCCCTTTTGGTAGCCTTTTACTCTCCTGAGATGGTTATGGAGGGGCTCACCACCATGGCGCTTAGTAACGTCGATGGCATGGAGGGTGGAAAGGTGGACGTATGTTGTTTTGCGATAGCTCAGGAACATATATAACCTAGCTAGCACTCCAGCTCGATATCACAACTTCTCCTTGTCACCCAGCATCACCATTCAATATCAACAGCTCAGCATTATTATACCCTCTTGGCTTCGTTCTTCAACATTACCACCCAGCGTTGCTATCTGACTCTTCGATATATAATTCACTATAGAAAGAAACTCCCCCAGACCAACACCAATATGTCTACTGTCAACGGTACTAAGGTCAATGCCCTGAGTATCCCTAACAAGGCGGCCAAGGGCGTCCCGTTCTTCACACCGGCCCAAGAGCCTCCTGCAGGAACCGCTCTAGACCCCCAGCCCGATGGAAGCGTCATCCCGAAGCTTTTCACTCCCCTCAAGATCCGCGGCCTCACTCTTCAGAACCGTATTATGCTTTCTCCGTTATGCCAGTACTCGGCTGAAAACGGCTTCCACACATTCTGGCACCTAACTCACCTTGGCGGTATCATCCAGCGCGGGGTAAGTTGCTTGATCGTGCATAAACTGACAATTAATACATTGCTAACCACTCCTGCAGCCGGGCTTGGCCATGATCGAAGCTACCGCGGTCCAGGCTCGCGGACGTATTACTCCTAATGACTCCGGACTCTGGCTCGACGACCATATGGAGGGCATCAAGCGCACGGTAGACTTCGCGCACTCCCAAGGCCAGCACATTGCCATCCAACTCGCCCATGCCGGCCGCAAGGCCTCCGCCCTCGCGCCGTGGTTGCACAGGGGTGCTACGGCTGCTGCCGACGTAGGCGGCTGGCCCGACGATGTGGTTGCGCCGAGCGCCATCCCCTATGACGAGAATCATGTGGTCCCTAAGGCGCTAACACTGGAGGAGATTGCGCAGCTCAAGATTGATTTCGTGGCAGCTGCCAAGCGTGCTATCACGATCGGATTTGATGTGTTAGAGCTACACTGTGCTCACGGTTATCTCCTTCACCAATTCCTATCACCCGCTACCAACCACCGCACTGACAAGTACGGAGGCAGCTTCGAGAACCGCGCTCGTCTGATTCTTGAGCTAGCGGATGAACTCCGCGCTGTTATGCCTGCTGATATGCCTCTATTCGCACGTCTTAGTGCTACTGACTGGCTTGAGGGTGTTGAGGGCTACACTGGCGACAGCTGGAAATTAGAGGACTCGGTGCGCCTATCCGTGCTGCTCGTCCAGCACGGTGTCGATGTTATCGATGTCTCCAGCGCCGGAAATCACCCGCTTCAGAAGATCACCCGAGGCCCCGGTTACCAGGCGCCGTTCGCCAAGGCCATCAAGCGAGCTGTTGGCGACAACGCATACGTGGTTACTGTCGGTACTATCATGAGCGGACAGCAAGCTAATGATCTGCTTGTTGGCGGTAACGACGCCGACGACACTCCCGTAGACATCGCAGCTGTTGGACGCATGTTCCAGAAGAATCCTGGTCTTGTCTGGACTTGGGCTGAAGAGGTACGTGATAAATATCATCAAGGTAATTGTTTCATTTTAGAATATAATTGCTAACCTCTGCTTGTGATTTATAGCTCCACGTAGCAACCTATGTTGCAAACCAGATCGGATGGGGCTTTGGAGGCAGAGCCACCAAGCAGCGAAAGCCAGAGCCCACGAAGGAGCACTGCCACGGTCCCGTTCCGAGCAGTTAAATGGTTTATGACGAGGATGGAAGGGTTAGATATTATGTTACTTATCTTTTCCCTATGCATTTACATGCTCCAGCGCTATTTCTCTCCTACTCTTAGATTCGTTAGTTAGCTAGCTAGGCATTATCGGCGCTTTACATATAGAAGAATCTTATTATCTTATATTTTCCGTCTATCTTGGTCGATATAACGCTAATGATATGGGTATCTGTTATTCTCAAATAGATGAACATTACTGTACGACCTAGATTCGGCATCCAATAAGCTCGATGGCGAATTCTCAATTTCTCATCCTACATACCAACATTCCTCGTGCCCCAAATGAAACACTTCTACATCAGCTGAGTAGTAGACGCAGGTGATAGAATTTTCTCAGCTCTTTCCAAGTAGCGTAGAGCTGACCTATGTGTGTTTACACCATTGAACCATATATGGCGGTTTGTTGTACGAAGGCGTCCTTGGGCATACTTATTCGCCACTACTTACCAAGCTTTTATGACACGCTCCGGGAGTATATGGGTATTCTCTGTTTCTTCCATCTCAATCCACACCTCAGTACGCGAACGAGTATAGCGAAAGATACCGATGGATTCCTGAGAGCCGGCCCATATTTCCATTTTCTCGAGCCTAGGCATCCTCAAAACGGCTCGAACAACGCACCAAAGTAGGTCATCCAGCCGCCCTTGCCCTTTCAATGGATTGAAGAGGATCCATGAAGTTAACGTCAAGCCCCGCAAGTTTTTCCATACAAAATTGACGGGTTTTCCTTTGAATTTCGGGTAGAAATGGCATAAGAACTGCTCAGCATCGATGATGAACGACACGTCGAGCTCGATAAAGTTACGACTTATACTTAGCAGGGATCGTACAACTCCGAAGTTTCTTAGCTCTTGCGACCACGCATGAATGTCTTCGCTAAAGTCCTCAAATACCGAAAATCTTTCTAGGGTTGGCGGTAAGAAGTCCAAGAAATGATTGAACATATGTCGCTGGTACTGTTCAAGCTCCATAGAGATAGCACGCCAGGGCTCATATTGGAAAACCTTCAGCTTCGGGAAGCTCTGTAAAATTAGATCTAATCTAGGAATCGGCCGGTAGAACTAGCGGGGAATGACGAGACCTATAACGAAGTCCAGCTTTGGAAACGAGCCCTCCCAGTCCTTGTGTATGAGCTCTAGTTCGAAACTAAGCAGCTTTCCGACTAGTCGTAGACAAACATCCATTTTCGGAGGGATACGATATCCTCTCTTCCACCCATGGGTTATATCGTTACGATTTAGACGAGTCGGACGGTAGATTCTTAGACTGTCGTTCTCGAAGCGGTGATCTCGGAAGTAATGTTTCCGGTCGCTTGGGGACCAAGCACTCAGCATTACGGTTAGGTCTATTCTATAAGCCTGATTTCCGTCTGCAAGTCCCCACTTGGACATAACGTCGTAGAAGCGGAATAGAGAGCCTGTAAATAATACACTATTCATCGTGACCTCGTCGTTGGTCTCCTTGACGCGACATGAACGGCAATCGTATGGGCGAAGTTCCATGCAAAACCAGAGTGTACGAAGTAATTGTTTTCTCTTAGCAGTGACGATCTGCTCAAAAAGTTCTAGATCCCACTGGTTGACTTTCAGCTGAGCGAAGTTCTGCAGCTCAAAAAATTCGCGCCAGCTGAGGCAGACGGCGGCGTAGGTGGATTTAGGATGCTTATCGTGGCTATATCGATCCCCAGAGAGCAGGAAATCAAAGATATTTAGGTGGATTTTTGGCGGTAAACCGTCCCAGTTGAACGACTTGCCACTAAAACCTATCTTATTATATAGGCGTGCGCGTCTGTTATTTGGCAAAGACATGGCAGTGGATGTTATGTCTTGTGGGATTCTTGAGGGCAAGTTCATTAAACCATACGAAGTCTTAATTGCAAAGGTTTGATTGCAGATTTCGAAAAGGGATCGATTCTACTTTTATATTTCTTCATGAACCATGTCTGAAATCTTCTACGTGAACAAAGTTGGACTTCACTTACTTAGATAAAACTCGATACGCACTAGTTTCAACACAACAGACTAGCTGCTATCCAAAATATAAAGAGCAGTCCTAGATCGGTAGCCAATCACGATGGTATTATGACTTGGAGGCCGGGTTGTTTCTGTGTCTTGGTGATTTAGGTAGGGAGAGTATGGAATATTCACTATGCATTTCATATATTTGTAACCGATTTCCTTTCGCTTTTTATCAACTTCGGTAGATACGTAGAACATAGTGTGAACATATTCGCAAGGGAAATGGGTTGTTAACTCTTGGATTAAAATACGGACAACTTTTCTAGAATTGGTATAAGTCTTTATATCTAGAATATATGTCAAAATTGAATAGAGCCTCTGATTGAACCTAGATCAAACGTGACGTGGTTTCTAGCGACTTCGAGGTCAGATTGCTTACACAGACCGCGCGCTTATGAAAAGGGGTCAAGAGGCAGCCAACCTAGGTAGGTACCTTGGAAGATGCATAAACCACATTTGACAGACTGATTGGCAGCTTCAGCCACACTGCCACGCAAGACAACTTTCAGATGCTCCATTTAAGCAAGTCATTCTCCATTTATTTTTCTATGCCGTGTTATCCAGTGAACCAGTTGCCAAGCTGGAATACAAAACTATGAGAAACGATTGCATGAATATTCAAAATGTGATTGGTTACGAGAGAGAGCTATGAGCTAAGAGGTAGTAGGTACATACATACGGTATCCCGCATCGCCACTTTGGTACAGGCGAGCTCTCAAGCTCTCAGCTCTAAGCCACACAGCTCAACCTGAAGTTGAATTATGAGAATTGATTCACTTGAGGACAAAGATAGAAAGGCATACATTATAAAAGGTTACCATTTCCCAAATCATATTATATGCCACGACTCAGATCTCTTTTCCCTTACATCCTTGCCGTGACAGCATTGCTTGCGGCCTTCATACTTACACATCATTATCCCTCCTTACTCTCATCATCCCACCTCTCACCAGCTTTCCTTACCTTAGCCTACCGTCTTCTTCCAAACTTTCTCACTCCCCACTCACCTTCTTCATCTCCTCCCGCTGCAGAAGTGAATATGGCACACCAATTCCGCACTGTCGCTTACTTCGTCAACTGGGCCATCTACGGCCGTAAGCACCGGCCTCAAGACCTACCCGTCGAGAAGTTGACGCATATCTTATACGCCTTCGCCAACGTACGCCCAGAGTCCGGCGAGGTCTATCTAACTGATACCTGGGCCGACACAGACATTCACTGGGAAGGCGACAGCTGGAACGACGTCGGCACCAACTTGTACGGCTGTCTCAAGCAGCTCAACCTTCTCAAGCGCAGGAACCGACAACTTAAGGTCTTACTCTCCGTCGGCGGCTGGACCTACAGTAGCAACTTCAAGCAGCCGGCATCTACACCTCAAGGCCGTGCCAACTTCGCCAATTCCTGCGTCGAGCTGATCAAGAACTTAGGCTTCGACGGCATAGACGTGGACTGGGAATATCCGCAATCGCCGGCCGAGGCCGCCGACTTCGTCGCCTTGCTGTATGCCGTGCGCGAGGCCATGGACGCGTATAGCCGCACCTTGCCCGCGCCGTACCACTTCGAGCTGACGGTAGCCTGCCCAGCCGGCGCGCAGAACTTCACTAAGCTCGATATCCAGGGTATGGACCGGGTGCTTGACTTCTGGAACTTGATGGCGTACGACTACGCGGGGTCGTGGGATTCGGTGGCGGGACACCAGGCGAACCTGTACCCGAGCGCATCTAACCCGCGCGCCACGCCCTTCAGCACGGTCGCCGCCGTTGATTACTACCTATCGCGAGGCGTAGCGCCCAGCAAGATCATTCTCGGGATGCCTTTATACGGGCGCGCATTCCAAGGTACAGATGGTCTAGGAAGCGGATACAGCGGTGTCGGCGAGGGAACCTGGGAGAACGGCGTGCACGACTACAAGAAACTGCCTCTCCCTGGAGCTACGGAGTATTTCGACCGCGAAGCCAGGGCCAGCTATTGTTACGAGCCCAATACACGGACATTGGTCAGCTACGACACGGTGGACATGGCGCGGACGAAAGCATGGTGGATCTGCGAGGAGCGACGGCTAGGTGGCGCCATGTGGTGGGAGAGCAGTGCCGATAAGGAGGGAAGGGAAAGCTTGATCGGGAATGTGGTTGATGTGTTGGGTGGACCGGGGGCGCTGGACCGTAGGCCAAATTTGATCGAATATCCGTATACCAAGTATGAGAACCTCAGGGCTGGGTTTCCTAATAACTAACTAAGATGGAGATAATTGAGCTGGAAACAAGGGGAAAATGAAGGCGCATAGGGGGGTCTATAGAATGTCTATGGGTTACATGGATTCGGTTCCATGGAATATGAGCGTTTGCTCTGATGGGTTCGACATATATTTACGATAGACGACTGGTAGTTCACCAGATACAAATGACCTACGCACGCGCAACGTGGCCGTATTCGGGTCTATGAACAAAAGAATCAATAATTCGTCTTCAGAAGTCTTTCCTTTGTAAAGGGAAATATCTGTGCTGTCGTATATGTGAAGATAGTAGTGCATGACTAGAACTTCATGATAGCTTCGAGTAAGCATTACGAAAAGCGGATACCAGGACTTTATTCGAGAGCAAGTAATTTTTATTGGGGATCCTACTTGATCCGTGGCTTGACTACCTGATCTCAAAGGAGGACTAATAGTATAAGATTGCAGATTACATATTAGTTAATAGGTGCTAGAACTAGGAGTATTGAGGCCATGCAATAACATTTCACGATCTAGAAATAGTAGTATAAGAACTAGTGCTTGTGCATGAATTCGTATTCATAGAAACTGAGCTAAGTCATCCATGTCCTATATGATTCCCGTAAGCCCGTTCCGATGTTCCGAACTCCTAACCGTGTACACTCCAAAACGACCCGATAAGCATTTACTGCTTGTCGAAGACGTAGGTAAGGTGGCATCGACCACAGTACTGTCGGTCCTGCATGGCAGCCATGAAGACACCAGCACCGCACTGTTTGAATGGCATTAGTATATTGATTCATAGCTGTTCTGGACAGGAAGTAACTCACGGTGTCAGCAGGACACTCGCGGCGGAGACGCTCAATCTTGCCATCGCCGTCGACCTTGTAATACTTAAGCACAGCTAACTTGGTCTTCTTGCGCTTGTGCTTGATCTTCTTGGGTGTAGTGTAGACCTTCTTCTTGCGCTTCTTGGCACCACCACGGAGGCGGAGCACAAGGTGGAGGGTGCTCTCCTTCTGGATGTTGTAGTCGGAGAGTGTTCGGCCATCCTCGAGCTGCTTGCCGGCGAAGATCAATCGCTGTTGGTCAGGGGGGATTCCCTCCTTGTCCTGAATCTTAGATTTGACATTGTCGATAGTGTCGCTAGACTCCACCTCGAGGGTGATAGTCTTGCCCGTGAGGGTCTTGACGAAAATCTGCATGATTGCCTGTTGGGGGGGGTTAGATGTTAGAAATGAGTGCCAGAGAGTTAAATTTGGGGGTATTCGTGATGCGCGTGGGAATGCGACCAGACACTGCGGCGACGCAATGAAATGCGTAGAAGCACGAATGGCATCGCGAAGGGGTTCATAAATCATTGAGATTGTATGAATAGAGGCTCTTGATATGAGAAGACGTACCTAGACAATATCGCTATTGCCGTCCTAAGCAACCAGATGAGTTTTAGTTTGAGGAAAGAAAAAAAAGTAGGAGGGGAGTTGGAGCCTCGAAAAGTTATGGAAGTACAATTTGGTGGTGGTGGGGTGGGTCTCCATCAGAAAATGATTAGGTAATTCAGCTTGGATTACCGGTAGAATCACGTGCTAGGGTTTCTTATCCTACTTGCCCTGTCGCACCTGTTTGCAGTAGCTACATACCTAATTTTGCCCCTCCATCCACTGACTACACTCTGATTGGCCCAATTCTTTCTCCTTTGCACTGGAGCGCCTCTAAACAATTTTGTACCTAGACAAAGTTGCGCGCACCAATTTCAACACAGAAAACAACTCCTCCAAATCCACCAGCCCAACTTTCTCTTTTCGACAACTTCCAACCAGAAAGTCCTGTACGTGCAAATCTTGTGTCCCCGTGTCTCTCCGCCTTGACTCTTGTCAATTACCATTCTAACATTGTAGGATAATAGAGAACACCGTCATCATGGTCAAGAAGAGAAAGAACAACGGCCGCAACAAGAAGGGCCGCGGCCACGTCAAGCCCATCCGATGCAGCAACTGCTCGCGATGCACCCCTAAGGACAAGGCCATCAAGCGCTTCACTATCCGCAACATGGTCGAGTCCGCCGCTATCCGTACGTCTTTCCCCCGCCCCTCAGGTATTAATCATGAATCATGAGCCAAACTAATTGACTTTGCTCGCAGGTGATATCTCGGACGCCTCCGTCTTCGCCGAGTACACGGTTCCCAAGATGTACCTCAAGCTGCAGTACTGTGTCTCTTGTGCTATCCACGGCAAGATTGTCCGGTACGTCGTCCCGTTTAGGAGACCGACTACGCGCTCATCAGCGGGCAGCGTATGCGCCTGAGATGAGCCTTGGTTGAACCTCGAACGAAAACAACTCCTATTCCTCCCCTCCTCGATCTCGAACTATACCCGCTAACAATCTATCTCTAGTGTCCGATCGCGTGTTGGCCGCCGAAACAGGGCCCCACCCCCGCGTGTGCGTTACAACAAGGATGGCAAGAAGGTGACTCCCACCCAGACTGCCAAGGTTGCCTAAATGCTTCTTTTCGGTGTCTAGGGGAGTGATAGGGTCTGGGACGATGAATCTGGTCATCGGACATGGTTTCACTTGCATGAAAAACGGGTTTCGGTATGATTACTACCTCAGATAATGACTTATGAATCGAGTCATATTGCCACTACGTAAACAACTGCATTTTATTGGCCATGCATAACTACGGCATTTGCCCTCTATGACCTAGTTTCCCCATCAAGATGTGTATTTCAGACTTCAGTCTAGCTAGCTGGGCTTTGAAGACTAATATATTAGTCAAAGGCGCTCTATTTAACTTGACTATATAATCACCGCTTTAATTCAATATCGCCAAAAGCTTCGTGAATTGAACGATATAGTTAGTAAACTTCACCATCAAAGCAATTCAACGTTGGTCTAGTAGGATTAAGAATCAATAGCTAGATAGTATCTCTGGTATCATCCAACCTTCCATGTACAATCTAGAGTTAACTACTCGTAGAGACAGACACAAAAATTAACCAAGCCCTGTTATTACGAGGCTTGACGATGGAGGGTTAAGAGTTCAAGCCTCGAGACTACATAATAAGTAGGAAACAAAAAGGAAAACTTTAAGCTTTAAGGAACATCCATCCATCATTGCACAGATGGAATAGAGCAAAAAGTTGGACGAGCAGGGAGTCGAACCCTGGACTTCTCGCATGCGAAGCGAGCACTCTACCACTGAGTTACACGCCCTTCTAGGTGGGTGGGGAAGCTTTAAAGTTACTTCCTTCTCAGTGGTTGATAATTTTGCTAATAGAGCATATATAGCATAGTAAGCCAGGTTAGTTAGATCATCAGGAGACCGACCAATACAATCGAGCCTTACGTTTCTAGCACGGGTAGACGGTCATTACACACGCCTGGCTTCCTATGAGAAAGTTCTAACCGAGGGGGCAATTGGCAGGTAACCTAGGTCCACGTTACACCGATCATCATGATATAAAACAGGAATCAATCAAAACGTATATTCATATTCCAAACAAGCTTCGCTCGAGCGCGCATTTGAGTAGGTATTCATATCATTACGCGTCCACCATTCATCAAATCCGTGATAGACATTGCGTTAACCGTCAGCCCAAACATCGTAGCCCTTTGCGCTTTGCGCTAAAGCGTTCATTACACAAGCAATAAATATCATACGTATTCTAAACGAAGTCATTTAACCCTTCACGAAATCACGGTCTGGCCGTGTTGCTGTTGTTGCTGTTGCTGTTGCTGTTTCGCCATCGCACCGCGAACGATAAAGTCGCGGTTCTCGATAGTTACGCTCTTGGTCATGTGGTTGACTTTGTATACGCCGACTAGTCGGGCAGCAAGCTCGAACATGTTGTTTCGCAGCGAGATGACCACGAATTGTGCGTTCTTTGTTCGCTCTTTGATGTAGTTGGCCACAATGGACACCTGGTTAATATCGCCGTTAGCAAACATTTCGCAAGACTTAATGAGAAGTCGGAAATGTAGGAGGATAGGAGGATACTCACATTCCTGAAATCCAGGGCGGCGTCGATCTCGTCCATGACGTATAGGGGCGTCGGCTTGTAATGGTGCAGGGCAAACACCAGCGCAAGACTAGATAATGTCTTCTCACCACCACTGAGGTTGCTAATGTTCTTCCAGCTCTTCTTCGGCGGCATGACGGAAAACAGGATACCTTCGCTGAAGGGATCCAAGCTATCGACAAGTTCCAGTTCAGCATTACCACCCATTGTGATCATCTGATACATCTCCTTAAGTCGGAGAGAAATGATGCTGAAGCCTTCCATGAAACCTTCCAGTCTTAACCGGCGCAGGTCGTCGCAACGTTTCTTGGCGGCATCGCGCTGCTGAATGGCACTTGCCAAGTCGGAAGACCGGGCTGCATGCTCCTCGACTCTGCGGCGGTACTCCGATAAGACGCTAACATCCACGTTGACGTTTTGCGTCTTTTCTTCAAGTGCAGCAATCTCGGCTTTAAGAGTCTCCTTGTCCATATCTTGCAGTTCATCCTCCGTGAAGCGCGGAAGTTCCTCAGGTTGTTGTTCCGGCTCTTCCTCTTGCTCCTCTTGCTCCTCTTGTTCCTCTTCCTCCTGCTGTTCTACCTGTTGTTCTGGCTGGTCTTGATGTTCTTCCTCCTCGTCTTCCGCTGTTGCTTTGCCTACCTGTCTAGTCGGCTTCTTGGCAGCCGGGGGTCCGCTCAAATCGCTGACGTTTTGGAGGACGAGTTTTCCTAGCTTCTCATCCCAGTAACGCAGGCGCTTCTGATTTTCGACGAGTACTTTCTGGTTCTCCTCTAATTTATTACGCATCTCAATCTCGACCGCGCGCGTTTCGTTAAGTTCAGATGCCTTCTCATCCAATTCGGATTTTAATGTAGACAGTTCCTTTTTCTTTTCTGCTAGTTCTTCTTCCGCCTCTTCGACACGAGCGTTTAAAGATTCGGATTTGCTGCCCTGATTCTCGACCTCTTCTTCCAGCTTCTCAAGGTCGCGTATTGCGGCTTCCAGCTCTTTGGTGGCCTTGGCGTGGTCTTTTTCAAGCTTCGCCTTGGACTTTTCCGCTTTGGCCTTCTTTACCTCAGCGTTCGATGTCTCCTCGTTATGAGAGGCGATCTCTTCCTTGATAGCATCAACCTTTGTGCGCTGGGCACGAAGCTTCTCTCCGCCGACTTCCATGATCTTGTCTTGAAGCTCTTTAATCTCTGCTTCCAAGCCTTCGGTTTCGGCGTGGAGTTTTGACACCTCCTTGTTCAACTTGGAGATCTCCTTTTGTAGTACAGCGACTCTGTTATCGTCAGACTGCGATGGTTGCTGCTCTTTACCCAGCTCCTTGATACGTCGCTGGGAATCCACGAGGTTTTTCTCGGCGCTTTGAATCTCCAAGCCAATTTTTTGCATCTTGGTATCTAACTGAGGGATTTGATCTTTAAGATACCTCAAGCGCGACTCGAGCTCTCGTTGGTGATCCTGGAATTCCTGGAATTGTTGCTCAATAGCGTCACGGTCGTTCTCAAGCTTGGTGACTTGCTCCTTAGACGTATCAGCCACAAGCTTACTCGACATCAAGCCTCTCTTGGCGGTATTTCCACCTCCAGACATAGTACCACTCGTGTCAATAAGTTCTCCATCAAGTGTGACTACTCGCCATCTCTTGGCACCATATGCAATCCGGTTTGCCTGAGCTAGGTCTTTGGCGACAAGAGTATCTTTCAGCGAGCGGTAGAAAGCAGGGCGAAATTTTTCTTCTTTAGCTTTAATCAGGTCGAATAGGCGTGGTGCATTCTCAGGTGTTTGGATAGGCTGTAAATCGGGCGAGCGCAGCTTATTCAAACATATAAAGTGACCACGCCCGAGGTTAGTCTTGCGAAGATATTCGATGCATTGCTGACCGGTCTCCACCGTGTCGGTAACGAAGTTGTCAAGAGATGGGCAGGCCGTAGAGATAGCAACGTCATATTTCTCATCAATCGTACCGAGATTCCCAAGACGGCCGTGAAACCCATCAATTCGTCCCGATTCCTTCATTCGCATTAGTGCGGTAAGCACATTGCCTCGTGTTTGCGTCTGAGAAAGGCTAGATCGCGCTTCTTCTGCCTTTTGCCGAGCATTTGAAACCTTTGCACGAGCTTTGGGTTCCATTTGGACCAGACTTTCGAGGTCGGTCACAACCTTTTTTGCTTCTTTCTCTAGCTTTGCCTTTTCGGCTTGACACTCCTTAAGTTCTACCAATTTAGCTTTCCGGCCTTCTTCGATATTAGCAATCTTCGACTGCATCTCTTCAAGTGCTACAGCGCCAGCATTAGCCTTCTCTTCGAGAATGGCCATTTCGGACTTGGCAACAGCAATGGCAGACTGCTTCTGGTTGATCTTCTCTTTCCAAGGCTCTAGGGATTTCTGCTTGGCTGCAATCTGGTCCGAGAATCCTTGCGTCTTGCCTTTTAAGCTATCTCGTATCGTTGCAAGTTCCGCCTCTTCTTCCTGCATACGCTCCTCAAGAGCGGCGATCTCCTTGACACGCGAAGCAATCTCTTCGGTGCATTGCTCAGCAGTTTCCTCGGCTTCCGCTGCAGACTTTTCGGCATTAGCGATCGTCTTCTCAAGCTTTTTCTGTTTGTCAGTCAAGAATTTGCGTTTCTCATCGAATTTGACTCTTTCCTGCTCGAACTTAGAGGCCTCCTTGACGAGGGCCTGGACATTCTTTTCCTGAGCCTCAAACTCCTTAGAACCCTTGGCATAGGCTTTTTGCAACTGCTTAATCACCTGCTCGCTGCCTTGATGCTTCTCAAGTTCGGCGTCAAGCTGAGCCTGCATCTGGCTAATTGCCTCTTCAGTCACGCTCACGTTATTATTGCATTCGCTAATATAAAGCTGATAGAGCGCCGACTGCTTCAGAGTCAAGTCGTTTTCGTCGCGGATAAAGGCCAAAGCTTTATTCTTTTTATCCTCGAGACCGTTCTTCTCCTTTTCGACATGCTGAACACGACCACTCTTCTCCATACAAACTTCATTAAGGGTTTCTACTTCCGCTGCTGCCTCTTCGATAGGCGTTTTGTATTTAGAGGTACCAATTATATCTTCTAAATATTCTAGTAGACCATCCTCATGCTCATTGCCAGCCTTAGCCTTCATCTGAGCAATTGATTCGACCTCGCCTTGCAGGATGAGAAAACGCTTATGGTCGAGATCGATTCCTCGGTCGCGTAGTAGAGTGGTCACTGTTGTGAAATTAGACTCGCCTCCGTTAATGTAGTATTTACTCGAGTTATTCTTGAATGCTTTTCTCGAGATGATAATTTGGGAGTTAGGAATTACTTCCGTTCCGCCCCCGGGCTAGATTTAAAATCAGCATGGCATCCCTATGCAGTATCACATCATATTAAACTAACCAGGTCCATGACCTCCTGGAAATGAACAGCCACTTCACAGTGATCTAGGTTTGGGTGAGCCGCGGAGTTGTGGATCAAAGCAGATATCTTGCCCTGTCGCATCTTACTTGCCCTAAATCCAAAGACGAAAAGAAGTGAATCAATGACATTCGATTTACCGGAACCGTTGGGTCCTACTACCGAAGAGAAGGAGGAATGGAACGGGCCAACCTCCTGTCTTCCGGCGTAACTCTTGAAGTTGGTCAAGATCAGGTATGTGATAACAATACGAGCTCTGGGCCCTGTATCTTCAACGGCGGGCACTGCCATCTTACGTGACTTCAGAACGATATCCATAGGCCTCTCTAGGATAGTGTCCATCGCCCGAATGGGCTTAACCTGAGTGATAGTCTCATCTGGGTCCTGCTGTTGTTGGTTTACGCTCTGGGCGGTGATATCAGCCAGAGGCGTGCCGTGAAGTTCGGATGGTTCCTCAGACTGAGCGGGTGTTGGTATATGAGGCTGACTATCGGGAGTAGCCTCGGGCGTGTGCTCCTTGACGGGTGTGAGCTCCTTGATAACTTTTCGCGGCGCAGCGCTCTTCCGTTTTCTTGGGGTGGCTTTATTGGGAGTTGGCTCTGGGCTGAGTATGGAAGTGGCAGTATGGTCGAAATCAGGGATCTGGCTCTCTTCGATGGATGGCTCTAAGGCAACGCTTGCGGTGCTCTTCCTTGGACGGCCTCCACGCGGTGTCGCAGGCACCGTAGACTTTCTTCTGCTCTGTGTTTGACGACGCGAGGTCCTAGCGGTTGATGTCTCAGGGGCGAATTCCTCCTCGCTTTCTTCTTCTTTTATTTTTCTGGTAGTATTGGCGACCTCTTCCTCTTCGTCTTCCGATTCAACAATAGCTGTGCGCCGAGCCGCTGCAGCACGACGAGTCGGTCTGGTAGACATTGTTGATCAAGTTGAGTTACTCTAGGGTAACGAAATCTGTTATACTTGGGTTACAAATAATAGGGGTGGGATAAATTTGTCGGCTAGTTGTCGTCGTTATCGGTATGATTGTCGCCGTAGCACGTTTGATTGCTTAATTGATAATTGATAGCGGGCAGAATAAATTTAGGTGCCCGTGTCTCGGGTAGAAAGTAAACAAAAACAACTTGCAGGTTTATCCCCCACAAACCCCCACCACAATCGCTAAAGGTACCTAATATATTGTACCTATGTAATTGTACAATCACCGGAATTAGAGTTATTACTAAGCCGATATCAATCAGTAGCGCGTCGTTAGCTTTCTTTCAACAGCTGAACAGCTAAAACAGCTATCCAAACGCGGTTGTTCCTCAGCGTTTTAAACCGATGAATTGCCGGCGCATCTGCATTTTACAGTCTTCCAAGGTTCCCTTTTACAGCTCAAGTTGTCGCGATATAGAATAATTGCATGTACAAGAAGATTCCATTCTAAGGTATTTGTTTATTCGTTGAGAATTTCCAATTATCAAAAATGCTCGATCCCTCCAAGTTCGACCGCATTTTCGGGTCTCTGGATCCATTTCCTTATGACCGCAATGTTATCCAACACCTTGAAGCTTCTCGACGAACTCTTGAGAGTTCCCTATTTATTGATCGAGTGATGAAAGCTCTGAATTTATCAAAAGGTATATATACTTGTCTTACCAGCTAGCATCTCATATTCTAGTTAGTTGCTAATCTTGTTTCTACACGTAGCTGCTAGCCACTACCCTCCCAAAAACAACGACGCTCTTCGACAATTATACAGCCAGATATGCGAGACTAAGAACGCTACCATTCACCACAAGCTCTCAGTAGTATTCTATCTACTACTCGATGTTGACGATCGAAATGGGTCTAACCGGGCTGAAACCCACGCTCAGCGTACCAGCATGCCTAAAAATTACAGGATCTTCATGAAGGGATTATGGCACATGGACGCACTACAATTTGATCTCGCATTACAGTATCTTACACATCCGTCGCTCCAACCTGATTTTGTCGACGATATCATCACCGTCCTTGTCCGCAACGCCAAGAACGGCGACTATAGTCTACCTCTCGCCTATTACCATACAGTTCAACCTATTATTCAATCATCTTCGGCGTTAGAACTACTATTCAATGCCCTCGCGCGATCGAGCGTTATTGATGCTTTCCAGTTTTCACGATCACATGCTGAGTCCATGCGTCGGCAGCTTTTCCAACGCCTTGTCTTATCCGTGTTGGAGTCTGCTCATGACGACGAGTCAGCCGAGAGGGCGCTTGATTTAACTAGCTTACCGTTTGATGCTGAGGAAGAGCAGTGGTTCAGGGAAAGCTTGGAGAGCGGCGAGGGAAAGCGGCTAGCTGTGGCGAAAGATACGCTTCTCATGCGCCGGATTGCTGCTGGCTATGCTGGATTCGGTGGCGAAGCAGGTACTTGGGCCGTTGTTCTGGAGGGTGTCAAAACGGGAAGTGGCGGACGTGCCCAGGCATGACCAAGTCAAAATGGTTGGATTCTAACAATGATTTCGTGAATGCTGATTACAAAGCGCCGGCGTCAGGTATCTTACTAGACCTTTTTTATGGTATCAAAGAATATTATTCTAATATCTAATGTCCCTCACATAACTTGCGTGTATTTGTCCTTAGCAAGGAGAACGACGGGTAGGACTAGACAATAAATAAGCCCCTATTGGCGTACCCGACGACATTTCACATGCTCTAATTGCGTAGAATCGAAACTGCCGGTATTCGGAATTAATATATTATAATGATAACCAAGTGATTCAAGATAAATTACGCAGAATCATCTGCACATTACTGTAGATGGTTATAAACTGCCAGACGTTATACATCGGCAGTGGTATCTTTGCAAGAGAAAACAGCAGCTACATGATGCGCATCGATAAAGATAATGCAATGTTTGCCAAAAGGAGAATGGAGAATAAGATCATAGCCAGACGAGTTACACCCGATTGAGCTCCGGTTCTAACTCCTATTCGATATATTATAAGCCCCTTACACGACTAATACTGACAGTCACCTTTTAACAGAGTTACGTCCCACGACCCATTAGACTCTAAATCGGTCCCGGCAGACATATTTGCTTTTTAGCTTGGTTAAACTATCCTCAGGAGATGAATTTGGCAACGATAGAACAACCCCTCCTCCATTCATTGTTTCCTCTAAGGTACCTAGACATCGTTCACCGATTAAAAAGTAAGTCTTGCAAGACACGGAATATGTACTTACACAACATTTCAGCTCCTCTTTACTACACCGTATTCCGATATGATATCACATGAACAAAATACTTACGCACCATCAGCTGCCATTGCATGATTTCATGTAAATCTTTAACTATATTGCCTCCGATGAGACATTGTGGCTTCTATAGAGGTGGATTATACGGAACAATAGACTATCGAGATTGGCTAGGATAACACATAGTTATTAAGCATGCGTCTACGATCATGTCTGATCTCGCTGAAACCTAGGCTTGTGTAAATAATAACTAGCTGAGATGTGAAGGCAAGTTCTGACCCGTCCTCGTAGAGTAAAAGCCTTATTTAAGTTTCATGTATTCGTTCAGATCAAGCCCCTCTTCAAATCAATTCGTTTTTCAATCATCTAATACATCGATATATTATAGCATTTGACGCTCTCTAGCAAGATTTTATTACAGTCGGTTCAAAATGGCAGAGTTCGACTACAACTTGTTCCAACAAATCTATTGCCTTTCTATGGCCACTGGCGTCGTCTCGAACAAGGAAGACACGGAAGCAAACCTTCAAGCTGCACTAAAGAAAACTCTTGACGATACCCTTCCACGTTTGACAGGCGCTTGGTCTATCTCCTGGGGACCGAGAGTCTTCAAAGAGAAGCCTGATGAGTCGAAAGGCGGTCCGGACAATGTCTGGTTTGCCGTCATTGATCACACCCAGAAAGTTTGTGCTGTTGCTATTGCAGGTACAGCTTCAAATTCAATTTCAGACTTGTGGCAAGATTTCAATGTTGGTGCAGTCGTGGACTTTGAGGCCTGGGTTGGATCATGGTCTTCTCAAGGCATTCCTAAACCCAAAGAGGACCACTCCAAGCAGAAAGATCCTTCTCGATCTTATTGTGCAAAGGGAATCTGCGATGGCACGTGGCATGTGTTGAGTAATCCTAGCACAGCAGTTAATAGCGGTCTGCGTGTCGATGAGTACTTGCAGCAGCTGGATTCAGATTACACCGTCATCTTCACAGGTCACAGTCTGGGAGGAGCCCTTGCTCCGACTTCTGCATTGGGATTGGCTCGGTCTAAGATTGGCTGCAGAAACACGGTCAAGGTTTTACCGTCCGCTGGTGTGTCTCCCGGAAACGACGTTTTCGCCAATAAGTATTCCGAAGTCTTCACCAAGGACCATCTATCAAGCGAAGACTACAAGGTCTACAACACAGACTTCTATAACATTTACGACATCGTGCCCCAGGCTTGGTCCATCAATCCTGACCACGACAGAAATCTCAATAATATCCTAAACAAGATTCTCCAGTGCAGCGATGACTTTAAGCCTAAAGCAGAAGTATGGGTATCCGTGGCTCGATTTCTGGCCGCAAAGTCACACATGCAGTATACTCCCCTTCCGGGACAGAGTTTCGTTGGTCTTCCACCGCCTGAGAACCCTATCGACAACTGGGACCAAGTGAAAAAACATTTCAGTCAACATCACGTTCTCGCTTATTGGGATGAACTGGGCATTACTGAGTTCATGCATATATTTGAGAAAAAATTCTCGAAGCGGATCGAGGCTCCTCCTGTTCATTAAAGCCCCGGAGCCTGACCAACTCAGTACCAAAATCTACAGGATGTACGCCAAGCCCAGTAGCTAATGATTTGTAGTGATAATCAGTTTAGTGAGTATATTCAGATGAGATCATCAAGAAATGGGGGGGTCGCTCTTTAACTAGGTAAATGCCAAATTTATCTATAGATAGATACACACGCCTTAACCTTTGCCTAAAATGTGAGACGTATCTCTCGTTTCCAGAATTCCTTGTTTATTAGGCCTGTATTCCTTCACGATAACTATATGCAGTTTCCCATCCTGTAGTCACGTTGAACAAATTCTCCTTTTAGCTTACTCCTTCGCGCAATAATATCGTGCCAACTCATGAATACTTGCTCATTAGTAACATATAAGGACTGAAATAATCCCCGAGTAAGGAATTTTTAATCAAACTATTAATAAATTGAGCTGTATAAACGTAGGAGGGGAGATAATGAGAGGAAGAACAGTCGCGCAGGGAGGGCTAAAAAAAGAATGATTATTAAATTAGGTAGGATAGAGGTAGGGTATATAAATAGAAAATATTACGCCTAACGGAAGAGGTAGGGGTTGGGTAATAACAACTAGAGTTACCAGCTGATAACAGTAGTAATAGTTGAATGAAGTTTTCTGATGAATTCAGGGGCGTACCTAAGTTAAGAAATAAAAAGAAAAGAAAAAGAACATGTCCCAAACCCGGGAACTGAACCTGGAGCTGCGTGTCGGGGTATTAGTGGGTTAGGGGTAATTACAAGAGTATATTGACTATAAGAGGGTAGAAAGCCAGGCGTTACTAGTTTAATACTATATATCTTAACATTCACTCTATATATAACATCAATCAAAAGGTATAAAGCCTGACACTGCGGCCCCGTAAGCGGACTTAAGGTTTACTCAAGTGTGAATCTCCGTGTTACCATTATACCAGTTTAGGTTGTAGAGCGATGCTTTAAATGTCTTTTATACGCCTTAGACCAATAACTTTGTAGGTAGTTAGGAACGCCATGACATTTACTAGACCCTACATATGGGAGGCAATACTCATCCACTACTTTCACCCCGACTCCTAATTGTCCACAGTTCATATAATAGCTCCCCTCAGTTTCGATTCGATTCATTTCTATATCGTAGATTAGAGCATAAGTCCTATGCAATCCTTTTAATTAATATATAGTGCTCGAGAGGTGTAACGATCTAGGCTTGGTCCAAAGGTAACAACGTCAATATCGAGGTTTAAAGGGTCTTATTGATCCAGGAGATATTTAGATTGACTACTGACGATTTTCTAAGACTAGCTAGATAGCAAGTTATCCTTATATAGACTATATCGTCAGTACTAGTGCTGAGAAGTCAGGAGGCAAGTTCGGATTCAAAGATGTCACGTCCTGGATTCTCTACGATTCCATATCCGTGTGCCAAGCCCCTCACGGGCCATTCCTTTAATAGGTTCTCATTTAGGCCGCAGGCTTAGTTCGTAACAAGAAGCACGAGGAACTAAATTCGGTGCTGATACCCGACCACCTGGGGATTTAAATTGTAAGACTATCGCCCCAAACCAAAAGCATACGAGGAAAGCTAGGATAGAGAGACTTGCGTGGGGCGAAAGACTTCCAGGCTATTGTAAGCATAGTTATCAGAGGGCCCATCCGTGAAAAATAAGATAGAAGATCGGCCAAAAGAACAATCGGAAAGTAATAAAGACGAGGGCGACAGATCGATCCGCACCTTTAAGATTACCTGATTATAGCACCGCATTGAAAGGGTGGGGGATGCATGATTAGAGACTGGATGGTTAAAAGATGTACGATAAGGAAAAGGCCCATTTACCGAGCCTACATGATACATTTAAAAAGCAAAAGTATACCGAACACGAAAAAGGAACTCCGAATCGGGGAATCGAACCCCGGGCTTGACGGTTCCGCGATTGTTAAATCATTTGAGAGCGTCAAATGTTAGCCACTACACCAATTCGGATTAACAAATTGTTTATTTCTTACTCCTATATGGAAAAGCTATTCATGACGTAATGCTACCGTGGGGCAGTATTACGTAACAGATCATAGACCCATTTTAGTTGAATTCTCTACCAGGGCACGAAGATTTGTGTAACTCAACAAACCTTTTAAGTAACTAAATTACTGGCAGGCACATACTATATATATTAGCTTTAGCTTTAGCTACACCTATAAGAGATCTCCTGGCAGGCGCTAGTCTGCCGGGAGAACTTACACAGGTAATCAACTTCATTGAGATCAATCAAATGCTGGTCTACCAAATGCCTTGGGGAAGAAAGTGACGTTTAAATTAACTTATTCCTTGCTTATCCTTAGTAGTATAAATATCGGGGAGTTGATAATTGCTATTATCCATGCATTCTTTTTTACTCCTTATGGCTATAACTTCGTTATGATTATAATTGCTAAAATGTCTTCGCGAAGTTATTCATGAAACTTAAATACCTACGCCTATTATCCATGCGCAGTTTGGCTTTCAAGCTCAAGCTAATGACTATGTACCATTAAAAACTTTCAAGTATTACGCACAGCCAGTATTAGAAAATTAAATAGTTCATATAGAAGCTAATATATATCAAGATTCGAAGCGTAAACCTTTTCCAATTGTATGAACAACTTAAGGTATAAGTATATAATATCCAACTAGCTTTCACGAAAATACGTTTCTAATCTCATGAATCACGCTTAAACTAGAGAGCAGCTTATTCGAGCCTCTTATTACCATAAGTAAAAAACCTCTAACATACCAAACAACGATTCTTCATATTTGTACTAACAAACGCATCCAGTCATCCCTCATCCGCATCTCACTCACCACCACGGTAGTGACCATCATGCCTGGCCTCTTATTTCGAATATTCCTCATCGGCGTATCAATAACTCTGGCGTATGACTTCGCCACTACGAGACGTAGACGCCTAGAAAGACTCCGACTCCGTTTAGTACCATGGTTGGGTATTCTACCACATAGACAAGGTGACAATATTGGAGGACGAAATATTCTTGCCGGATACGTCCGCGTCGGCGTGAATCGATGGGCCTGGGTTATCCAGGATGCTTGTGTATTAAGGGTTCGGCGTCAGTGACCTAAAACACGGAAGAAGGATCACTACAGAAAGGGAATTTTCCACTCACCTTGACGATACTCACCCTTTGTTATCACCTGGTATAGAATAGCTCTAAGAAACTGTATAATGGCTAATTAAATATTAGACATTATCTCTTGTGATGCTCATATATGCATGATTAATATTCATTAGGTATAAATACGTGTAACTACATTTTATGCGGTGACCCTAGTAGCAAGCTAGGTATATTTTCTCAGCCGCATTTCAACCAATGATATATGTAACCTACATAAATAGGTATAATGTAACCATGCGGATGAGGCAACCTGTGCCGCAGGAAAGTGGCGCTGCCGCAATCCTTCTAAGCCCTGCGACCCAAGTAATGCCACTTGCATGCTGGTTTATTATGAGTCTGCTGGGATAGAATCAATGGAATTTCACATTAACTCATGACTATACTTTAAATCACGATATTGAGCCATTTTACGAATAATTCCAACAATCAATATGGCCGATCCGCTGTCAATGGTTGCTAGCGTCATAGGCGTCGCTGGGCTTGCTATATCTACATCACGAGCCCTTATTTCGCTTATCCAGGAGATGACCGATGCACCACAGGAGATACTCCATATTCGCCGCGACGTGCAGAACCTTTCCGCGGTGCTTGGTTCTCTCCAAGATATCTGCGCTAAATATGATTTAAAATCGGGGGATCTTGCGCTGGAGAGTAGTTTAACAGAGTGTATTAACCTATGCCAAGACAGCATGCAATCAATCCATATACTTATAGCGCCTCTAAAAGGGTCTAGTAGAAGAAGTCCGATAAGGATGATTGGTTGGGTGATACGGAAAGGTGAAATCAAAGCGCTGAGGGAGAGACTTCAGGAGGGTAAAACAAGTTTGAACATCACAATATCAGTAATAAATGGGTTCGTGAGCCTCTATTCTTATCACAACTACCCCATTGTCCAAGCTATACTAAGTCGAGCGCAGATTCCTCGAGGGTAAAGGCCAGGATGAGATCAAGAGTGATGTCCGCAAGGTCTACGAGAAGCTTTCTATTGAGCTTCGTAGCCGAGACAGCGGAAAGAGAGTCCGAAAGAGGATGGAAGATGATGTCGCGAGCGTTTCGGCCTTTGGAGGACGGCGTCAATCCATATCTCAATCAACAGACGCCGCATTTGTTTTGGACAGGTACTTCGATCAATTACCAGGACCCTCGAAACCTGCATCCCCTCTAGATTATCAATCCGGTTCGCAGACATCCAGTGAAGTACTCCTAAGTCCGTTCTCAGCAGAGCCAATCACTTTGCTTGACGCAGTTAGAGCCAGGAATAGCGACGGGGTTATCCGTCTCATTTCAAGCGGTTATCCCACGGATGAGAGAACGCAAGATGGCCAAACAGTGCTTCATTTCTGCGCCATATATAATGATGCGGAGATTGCCCAACTCCTGCTCAACCATGGTGCTGATATCAACGCGCGTGACAATCAGTTACGTTCTCCTCTAAACGTTGCTCTCTCATCCGAAGCATTGACCGTTGCCAACGTCTTAGTGCAAAGGGGATGCTCTCTTACGGGATCCACTGACATGATTTTCCCCTTGACTCAAAGGATAGAAGAGATACCCGTCATTAGACCACTACTTAAATCCCTGGCGCCAAAATTCAACAAGTCGGCCTCTGGTCCATACCTTGTCCATCAAGCTCTCGAAACCAACGATCTCCGGAGTTTAGAAATCCTTCTTTCTGCGGGGTTCGACCCAAACATCAGAGACAAATATGGTTAGTGGTGATTATTACATGAAATCTGGACTGAGTTTGAAATTAACCAATATATATTAGGCCTTCCCCCATTATATCAAGCGATGATGCAACAGCAAAAGGAAGCCGTTCGGTTATTACTAACCCATGGTGCTAATAAGAACGACTATCTGCCACCTGAAACGGAGGATAAGCTTGATGAAAGCATTCGCTCTCACCAGAAAATGGCAACCTTTTTCAGCAATGGATATGTCCCGTTAGAAATTGCCGCGAGGGTACTAAGAGACGTTGAGATGACCCGCATTCTACTGGAAAGCGGAGCTAATATTAATTATGTCTACCCAGGCGACGGTAAGTAATGAGGATGTGCTTCCACTATGAAACCTATCTCACTAACATATTTTAAGGCGGTGTAGTACTAAGTGGCTTGGGCGACGAGGAGTATTTCGAATGTGCCAAGGTTTTAATAGACAGTGGCGCGGATATGCATATCAAAGCTGACAACGGAAGAGACCCCTTTCTCTGGGCGAATGCGTGTTCAAATACGAAGCTGGCAGACTATATGCTTTCACACGGAGCCGATGTCAACCATTTCTACTACGACGATTACCCAACTGCTCTGTTTCTGTGCGTGGATTGGGACTCTAGAGAAAATGCTGAGGTCCTAGTAAAGCACGGTGCTGATTTGACGATAAGGAATAAGTCAGGAGAGACCGTATTGGATATTGCTCGGTCCGCTCAACACCACGAAATGGTAGCGATACTAGAGCGTGCTGTTCAATTGAAGCCTGATAGTACAACACAATGAATGGAAGTCTAATATCGGATCTAAGATGCCCAAAGGAGCAGCGATAGTTCTCTGAAACAGTTATTACCGCAACCTGATCAGAGACACAAATCACTAACCTAGGCTACATAAATTCTGAATCATAACATTTCCCGCCATGTCTGTCTTATTTAGTCTTGTCCCAGTCATCTCGTCAACCTGCTCCCTGTGGTTCGCCTAGGACTAATACGAGCTCCTGATGCTATTCCGCAAGCCAGATATACAGACGCTAAGCAACAGGCTACTCCCATCGTACTTCACGACATCCTTTAATCGCGGCGCTTCTCGAGTTATCGTCCTCCTTTCTACTACCATTATTTCGTGTGGTACAATTCTACGACGTTCTCCTGGAACGGTTTTAGCTGACCGGGGTGCCTACCCTTGGTACGTTGCAGGCATTTCGACCTAATTAAGCCTGATAGATATGTTAGTGATAATGAGGATTTGCTATAGGTCTCTTGTTTGCCGTAGGGCATCAGTTGTGGGATCCGTTCATTCTTCCTAGTATTCGAGCTATCCAGGGAGATGCAAAAGAGAACAATATTTCCGAGCTTGACAGCTGGATTCGTGTCCATATATGGCGAAGCCTTACTGTCGACTTGGCAGCTTGGGTTTGCTGCGTCGTTGCTACCGCCAAGCCTTTGTCCAATGAATGAGTTGTAGCTTTCGGCGTATAAAAGATGGCAATGTTACTGAATGCGGATAATTTAAGATCAATACTTAAGGTCGATGTAGTTTAAGTATGGGCCAAATAGGGGTGGCTCAGTTGCTCAAGCAAAGTTGAACAAACATATTAATCTGGTCTAAGTACCTAAAGCAGTCGATTGATGCGCAACCAAGTGAAATATACTCAAGTGTTGGATATACCACGTATGAAACCCCTAATCTCCCCAGCGACAAGAGGCGGTAAAGCTAATATGTCTGGAATACCGAGTTATTGTATAGGAATATTAGGAAAATATCGTAGCTCTAAGTCCTGTAGAATTTATATGCGTGACGAAAAAAAGGTACGATGGTTGAATAAACAGGATTAACCAACTATAGCAGATTGTTAACAGATATCCTGTATCAAGCTTAACCCTGTAACGAATAGCTGCGCACGATTTGGATTTTGTATTAGTATTATGCAGAGGTAAACTCACCATCTAGAATATCACATATGCTTTCATAATTAGATTTAGAGAATATTTCTTGAATTAATGTGTATATACAAGGTTATTGCCACTCCTAGCAACATGATAATTAAAAACTTTGAGTTTTTAGCACAAGAATTCACCTAGCTTCAAATCCTCTCTCAGAGACACGCACTACTTATGATAATATTGCTTTGATCTTATAGGTAACCGGCTTAGAACCGATTTCCTCTTGATATTCGTGGTAAGAGCGTATAAAATCTCTGCCTACATAGTCGGTAGTATGGCTTTGGGACCACCAGGAAGAGAGGTGGGAGTAAACCTTCATTGAGACCTAAGCTAATTCTCCGCCAAAATATTCCGATCATTGATATCGTACCAAATAGCCTCAATAGGCAAACACTGCGGAAGCCAATTACCAGACACCTTTGTCACCGCTCGTCCCAGACTCCCTATGACCAGGCCAACAACAATCTGCGAATGACAATATTTACAAAATCCGCGTTATGCATCTGTTCGATTATAAATGCCATGTCTTATTTCCTCAATGTATCGCATTCTAATGCACTCGGGTGGAACTGCCACAATTACTTCCATCTCATTGAACAAAACTCCAAGTACTTCCAGACTATTATAGATATGCTGCGACCAAAAGATGAACCGCGGCCTCTTGAGTGCCGATCGTGACATTATCATACGGCCCCTGCCACTGGAAACCATAAAAATTAGACCCGTTCCGCGCATTCTCGTACGCAGTGACAGCATTGTGCGCGATGAAAGAGCTATAGGGGTGGTCATCCAGCACAGCGTTGAGTTTAGCCAGCTCCCGGATGAAGATACCTTTAAACGACGTACCGTTCGGCTCGCATGCTGTTTCGTCGCTGCAGGGTTCCGTCAGGGTTCCGTTCTTAACTAGTAGCGCGCTGCTGACTGTGGCGTCTGCTATCAGCTGCGCTTCGTCGAGGTACGAACTATCTCCTGTGGCTTTGTATAGCTCGACGAGGCCGCCTAGGATCACACCTTGGTTATATGTCCACGTTGTCCTTCCGTTGTTGACACAGGCGGCGTCATCCGTTAGCCCGTCGTTAACAAGGTTTTCGCTGTTGATCATGCCGCTATTATTGAACCATTCCCACTCTTGTAGACTGTGGTTTAGGTACGTCATGTCTCCTGGGACGAGGTTGTGCAGTTTGGCCGTAAGCTCTAGGTAAAGCTCATTGCTAATGGCATTATGATAAGTCCGACTTGGAATACTCCAAATAAGTCCACCTGAACAGGTTGTGGTGTTCCAGTACTTGTACATATAGGCCTCATCTTCCTGGGCAATAAGCAAGTATTCTTCATCGTCCGTGAGCTCGTATAGGCTGGTCATTGCAAGCGCCCACCAGGCCGTATCATCAGTACTGTCAGCGCGGAAGTCGCCATCTCCATCCGGCCACCAGCTGAGAGGTGCCCGCTGAATTTTGACAGTGTTTAGTGCTTGGGGGAGATATTCGTGAGATCCGGACTTGATCATGTATTCTGTGAGAGCCCAAAGGGCGACACCACTCTGCCACCAAGACGATCCTGGATTGTTAGGATCCCAAAGGCCTGTCTTCTCATCGTATAACGCCATCATAGCATCTACCGCTGCCTTAGTCGCGCCTGAGGGTATCAAATCCCGCCTAACTGCTGCCCCAGAAGCCAGGGAGGATAATGAAAGGCAGCATGCCGCCAATGATAGGAATGGCAACATATCTATGTACTTGTAGAATGGTAGTATACTGGGCTCGAATGAATCCTTGATAACCCAACAATGCTTCACGATGTGGTATTCGTAAAGAGCTATTCGTAAATATTTGGAGAAACTGCCGTACAGCCGGTAGAATAGCAGATTGATTGCCTCGTTCGAAGCCAAACCCAGATGCTTTATATATAGAAATAGTCCACATGCGCATCGTTTATATGAGAAGTTTAAACGTGACGTAAGATTAGCAGCCCAGTCATATTTCCCTAATGCCGTCGTGGGCTCGGTGGCTTTCCCTCGATCCGATGCAACACTTAAGCGCCGCACGCAATGTCCGTCCCCTATTCAAGATTTGTGCCATGCGAGTCTATTGCCAAGCTTAAATAGTGTTCGCAGTCTGTTAACAGGACGGATACGAAAAAGCCACCCGCCGCGGTTCGCTCCCCCCCCTGTCCGCCCTAAGAGATATGAGTAGGCACTTATCTGGTGGCATTTGAGTTATCGGATCTGGGTTGTCCTGCAGGAACGTATGATTGGTAGGATCTACCACGTGTACCTGACATAAATTTTAAATATTCGTCAGCCGTCATGTATCCCGGATGACTTATAAACACCACAGTATAGAGGAATAAGGGGTAGGTCGTAGTGAGAGGGCCCGGCTCGAAGCATAGCTTCTGCTGTCGAGCGTGTGACAGCATGAATACGGAGGGTCACAACCCCTTGCATCAATATCAAAACTAGGAATTTAAATTTGAATCATGATTTAACCTGCATGTAGGTTGCACCTAGAGCCTAAATTTGCATATAGATCAGATAATAATTGATATAATTATTTATATATCTTAACGCACACGTGACACTCCCTTTCTACGAGTCTATATACGCATTACCGTTATTTAAATCCAAAGGAACGATCTTCAACTGCAATCTCAACGGTTAGGCTGATCCGCGATCTACTGCAAGTCATCTACGCGGCGATGCCAATAAGCGCCAATAGAGGTAAAGATCGACAAGGACAGCAGGTAGTATTCTTGGTGGAGTAGAAAATTGACCAGTACGCATTATAAACAACGCTTACCTCTCAACCTATCAACGAATATAGTCGTAGAACATTATTTGCGATATCATCTAATGTTGCGAAAATTAGCTTTTAGTTCAGTTGGGTAAAAACTATTTGGTTGCCTCCAACGAAGCAGCTTAGCTTGGTTGGGTGAACTGACAGACAGACTAAACTTTATATCGATGCTAAAGAGAGCTAAAGATGGCTAAGACTATTAAGCGGAGTAAAATCGGACTTATTAGTGTATAGAAAACATCTGATCTGGACAAAGCCACATGCAAGACGGGCGGGGCCTCTCATCCTTAATTTATCAATATTCATTGCTTTTAGACTTTTTTATGTAAGGGACTGTGGTGGGATTACGTAACTACTAGCTATACTGAAAATTATTGGGCCTTGCCCAATAATTATCACTTAACTTAATACAACATCATTCCACCCTTTGAGGACCATGATTATGATGAATTTCGTGTATTAATGTTTTCCCGGGTTTCCTTTTGCCTTTTACATAAATTGCTATCATTGTCAAGAGTAACGCTAAAGAATGATCCCAATCTTGTAAGCTACGATAGCTAGTGTGCGGTAGGCATTGCAGAGTTCGGCAATTTGGTTGGCAATTGTTTTTACAATGACTTCTGGTATATGTTGGGTGTTGATGCCCTCTCTGATCTAAAAAAAGCTCACGGTGCTGGAAATTTGACCTCGTAGTTCCGGGATGACTCGAGACAACAAGATATGTCTTCCCTATCCCCGGTGTTCCCCTAATCCAGAGCGCAGGATATTTCATGAGAACCCATTTTTGAAAATGCGTCTGCTTTAGAAGCCAGTTGACCAACGGCTTGATCCTGCAATTATTGATGCTGGCGTGTAATATCTCGTTGTCCTGAGCTACAACCGTATTGAGCTATCGTTGAAGTAGATCTTGGTTCTTGTCAGCCTTTTAAGCGCTAGTTTATGCGCTATGTTGTAGCATAGGTCATTGATATGATAAAGGCAATTTCCATTCTCACCATCTTACTAAGTTGGTTTAATATATTTTGTTTTTTTCCTTAACGGCATGTTACATTCTCTCTTTTTTATTGCCCTTGCCGAATAACTGTTTTAACTTTATAAAATAAATATAAAAGTAAGTAAAAAAGTTTAATTATAAGTTTATAAAGTTTATAATTTATAATAATTATATAAAAAATTAATAATAAATGATGAGATTACGTGATGATGACATCACGATAACGATAACGTAAATAAAATAGTTTAACATAGTTTATTTTTTTTATAATATAATTTTAATTTTTTTTATTTATAATAATTATTAATATTTAATAGTTTTATTTTACCGACGGTTTAAAAGCTTTTAATATAATATAATATTATATTTTTTATCTTAAAAATTATAATTTAATTGTTAATAATTTAATTGTTAATAATTTTATAATTTTTAAACTATAAAATTAAATATATTTTTTAATATATTTAATTAATTATTATTTTATTATAAATTCATTTTTAATATATTTAATTTATAATTATTTAATTTTTTATAAAATGGAATAAATTTACCTTATTAAAATAAGTAAGTAAAAAGATAATATTTTTAAAATTGTTATATTTTTAAAAAAGCATCTTTTTTTATTTACGGTATAAAAATTATAATAAAATTAAATATAATAAATATAATTTTATATTAAAACTTTTAAAATAATTGGTATTAAATATAATAAATAATTATAATTAATTTAATATATAAAAGATTTAAATAAAATATTTGAAAAATATAATTTTAAATAAATAAATAATATTTATAAATTTTAT